TCATCTATCGCAGACTGTGCCCATAGCTTAAACTTGTCGCCAATTGCCGCCACCGACATTTATCAACTGTTTATATACGAGTATATATATATATATATATTCAGTTACTTATTTTTGTTGTTTTCAATTTTCTCCACTGCCTGCATAAACTTTCTCCCATACGCAACGAACCAAGTTTTCTCCGAACTGCAGCAGGAGTTGCTGCAGATGATGATGCAGATGATGCTGCACAGTTGATGCCGCCAATTGGCCAGACAGTTGGTTTAGCTGCGAGCCAAGGACTTTGTGCCTTCGCTGACAGCTCAGACAAAGGGGTCGCCGCCTTTTCTTGACATCAACATTTTTCTCTTTGTCAGTGCTTTTTTTTTTGGCTTGTTTTTAAAGATGCATTTGTATCTATTTGGAATCTCATGCGATAATAATTGTGTAAAGATCGTTGGAAAAAGCCGCAGTCATTGCCGTTGGGAAAGTGAAAAATCTCACACATTTAACATCACTTGCTATGTACTTTGCAGTTTGTTTCTTCTTCTCTGTTTTTTTTTTGCACTTTATTTGCAGATACAGCTTAAGCCCAAATGCATAAGAAATGCAAAGCATGACAAGACCATTGTTATTTGGGCCTCAACAATGACCAGCAGGAATAAACCATGAGATATAAAATAGTAATCGGCGCATACATATGTATATGGTGAGAGAATGCCCTTACCAGACTATCGAAAGATGTAGAGATGTTCATAATGGTTATGCAGATCTGCTGATGTCACCGCAAATCAAGTTCAACGTCTAAGCCAGATTCGTAACTGCTTGAAGTTAATTTTTTTTAACAAGGTGTGATCGATTGAGGGTCAATAATGATCTGATAGCCTTCATGAATTTATATTTTAATATCTCAGTATTCTGATGTTAACTTAATCGCCTTTGACATTTTACTTTAAATGCATGTCTTTTACAATCAAGAGTTTAAGAGTTCTCTCAGACAAATAGACGCCTTAAGGGCCCGATGGACAGACGTACAACGTTATATCGACTCGATGCCTCATACTGATCATATACGACTACGTACTTAAAGGAAGGGGTGCCCTTAAACCGTTCGGATACAGGGTATGCAAATTATAGCTGAAGAGTGTTTCTCAAGAGCTCTGAATAGTCGCTCAAGTTTGTGTTATTTGGCTGTTATGTATGTACTTGTTCATATTAACTAATATTTAATTTCCGCAGCAATAACGTGGCCAAAACAAACAACCTACACACACACACATACACACAAAGAGAGACAGGCACTGAGTGCCCACACACTCATTATACGACAAATATCCACATTATAAAAGCGAAAATATTTGATATCTTGGCATACCTACGCGGTCACACAAACAAAACAAGAAATGCAAACAATCCAACAAACAGCGAGTGTTTTTTTTTCTTTTTTTTTTTGTTGATTAATAAACTCTTTTTTTTGGGGTGTGGTCAGCATCAGCGTTACGAAGCAAGGACGAGCGCTTCACGTTTATAATTTCTTTCCCTCTCTCTCACTCTTTCTTTGTACTTATCGCTTAATACCCACAAGTTCGGGCACTTTGATCGATTGGCACTTAAGACGCTCCAAAATGAAAAATGAAAGTGGCCCAAAGCCGTAGTTTCGTTAGATAGCCGAATTAAGTTGTCGACTGAGTAGGCTAATGACAAATTTTCTTAAGTCGTCCATCATCAGCCGACAAAAAACATGAGCCCACGTGTCAGCTCACATATTGCAAAAACAAAAAAAATATCCAATCAACTAAATAAATAAAGATATGCATATAGAAATATTCATATACATATGTAGATATTGTGATATGTATAGTGTATAGGTCTGAGGGGAATTGGGCGACGACATTACCATAAAAGCCGCGCTAATCTTCTGGCAAATGCATTTTTAATGATCGTCGCACATTCGTTTTCGCCTTTTCGCCATTTATTTATTTAGCACGACTTGGCTGACTTAGCTCAGAGACTAGACTCCGATTCCGACTCTGGGCGTTGGCTCGTAAAAATCAAAGTATCTGAATGGGGCAAACTATGTTGCTTTCCAAGACGACTCAATTCGATGCAAGTCGGTAAAGTTGTTTGTTCATTTGAATTTTTTCCCTCTGTCCATAAAACGCCGCTCGTTATTAGGAGGCCGACGCCGGCCTGGGCTACTAATGAAATTTAGCTAGAACCACGCTCTCAAATAGAACGACACCAATCATACTACATAATTTGCGCCTTTTATACACATTATCGACTAACTGACTCACAGATACCCTCTACACAGATCAAAAATTGGTAACTAGCTCTACTTAAATCAAACCCACCGAGATTGATACAAAAAACAAAAATGGCCAAAGTCGCCTTTCCAGAACAAAATAGTCATTTAGAAATAGTTATTTGAATTAAGTATTCAAGAGAGGCTACAGCTAGACTCGGCTACCTTGCTCTCAGTAACTTTAATAATTGACTTTGCGGTTTTTCTTAACTTTCGACTGTAATTCCCAACTTGCTTTATTGCGTACTTATTTGTATCTTATTAGTGACTATTCATTACTTCATAAAAAATCGTATTCAATTTATTCCTAGGAAATTGAATGGCTTTCGGCGTAGTGAGCGGGGGAAATTGCGTAGTATCATGTGTGAATAAGGTTCAATCACAAGTCTAATGTCAAATTAAATTGGAGTTCTCACTTGAGACCAATATTTTTATTTTGTAGTAATTTCTATAATTTATCCTATATATTTATGCATTGTCTGGTCAAAGTTAAATAAACACATTAATGATCAGGCGTGTTTCTCATCGAATTTGAATTGCAAAATGGGAGAATTTATGGAAATAATTTCACTTCCATCGATTCATTGAATTCAACGAATTCACTGATTTGTGAAACTTGATTTCAACAGATTTGATGGAGCTCGGTACAGGCCTGATGCACAAAGTGATATTGTTCAGCAGTCTGCGCATTAACCCGTGCAACTTAACTCAAGATATCTATCGTACTGAATAAATATCTTAGCATAACATTTTGATTCACATTGAATAGTTTATATTTTATACAAATATATGTGTACGAAATTTAAAAGAAAACATTAAACAAGTTCACCTAATTTATAACTATATGTCTTATATAAACTCGTACGTATATATTAAAGTAGTATATTAAAGTCTCCCCTCATTTGTTTTCGCAAGAGCTCATGTTACCCTTCCAGAGTTTGAATGCGATACGCAATAAGAAAGAAAGAAGGAGAATTACAGCAGAAGAATTGCAGTGCCTGTCATTGATATCCACAAAGAACTGGTGTCTAGGGAGAGGGACTGCGACTCCGACTCCGACTGTGACTGGAACTGAAACTGAAACACTGTGCGTGTGCATTCCACTTGACTTGGCATTCAATTAATATAGACACATAGTTATATACATACACACACATATACTCTTATGTGGTGGTTCTTGGCTCGTAAAGTGGAATAAAGAAAATCAAATTGCAGAACACGAACAATTATCTTTACAAATTATGGCCACAAAGAAAGCCAAAGAGGCCAACCGGGGCTAAGCCAAAGAACCGAAAAAGAAAATGAAATAATAATAAACAGAATATTCATATACATACATACATGTACATGTACATACATATATACATATGTATGTATATTAATGAACGAAAATTGTGTGAGTAAAGGTAAGAACCGTAACGCGCAATTGCTTGGAATTTAATAAGGTGCTCGTAGTTTGTAGATTGGTGGCTAATTACACGCCTGCCTACGGCGGGGGCGTGACATGCCACCGAACGGAAGTAGGCGATGGCGACAATGACCCCAGAGTTCAGAGTTTCGGTTCCATAAGAACACAGCATAAATTAACACTTGAAGAATCTGAATCTGAATTTCAAGAACCTGGTCTCGGCCCAAAAAACTGAAGTCAATAACCGTGTCAAGCGACCTGCCATTTCCCTCACTCCCTCCTGCTCCCGTCTCTGCCCATCACTCTTTCTATTATTGTTTTGTGGTACATATTCGTATATACAAGTAAATACGAGTACGTATGCCGCCGTCGTTGTGTTTTACACATTTCGTCTCTACACCTTTTCTCTGTCGCTGACACACTGTTTCGAAGCACTTGTTGCTTGCCGGGCCCCCCAAAACAATACACTTGCAAATACAACAACAACAATTACAACTATAACGCACCCTCCCGGTGCAGAGATTTGGAGTCAGTTGTTTTTTTTTTTTTTCGGTGAGTGTCACGGCTGGTTGAAGCCGACGCGACGCGACGCGACTGTCACAGGGAGCGGCAGACAGTGAGCGCTCAACTATGACCCCTCCTCGTAGTACACCAATAGAGCTGTAGAACACAAATGGGATCGCTGCAGGTTGTTGCATAATTAGAGTTTGGTTACAATTTTTGAGGCTCAGTTATATTTTAGAGCAATTGCATTTGTAGCCTACAAATGTGGGTCTGTGAAGAAGGGTCTAAAGAAGAGTTCTGATTCTTGAAGCCGACATTTTTTTGTTTACACAGAAGTCATAGCAATAGAGTTGTAGAGCCCAGAAGTTCCCACTGCAGGTTGTTGCGCAATTAGAGTTTGGTTAGAGCAAGTACATTTGCAGGCCTTGTGGGTCTGTGGAAAATTTAGAGTCTAAAGAACAGTTCTGCTTCATATAGCCCCATTATTCTGTTCACATACTTAGTAGCCGTAGCAATACAGTTGAAGAAATCAAAGAGGATTGCAATTTTTGAGGCTTAGTTATATTTTAGAGCAATTGCATTTGCATGCCTTGTAGGTCTAAAGAAGAGTTCTAGTTCTTGAGGCCCAAAAGGACCATTTTACTTGTACATTGTTCTGTTATAATACAAGTACTTATACAAGTTGTTGCAATAGATTTGTAGATCTGTACATTTTAATGTTAATTCTCAATAGCTTGAATTAGAGGTTATGTTGTCAGCGTACAAATGCGCACTTTTTAATGAGACTCTTAAGTTTGTACTCACCCGAACAAAGCAAAAGGAGAGAGCCTGTGGTTCGTCCTCTTCGTTTTCCATACTGCTATTGTTGTTACTGTTATCGGTACTGTTGTTGTTACTGCTGTTGATGGTGATGCTGTTGATGTGCATTTCACTGTTATCTTCTACGGCTGCTGCTGCTGATGCGGCTGTTTCTGCGGCTGAAGATGCAACCCTAACGGCGTTTACTTTTGCGTCCATTTTGTTTGTTTGTTTTTTTAGAACTTGGCGTGTTGCCAATAATTTAAGTTATTTATTAATTTTTTTGTATTACCGCACAAAGGCTGGGGCAATTTCAACTGCCATTAAATATAATATAATTAATTTAATTAGCTTTGGTTTTCATAAAAAGCGATAACGGGAAAATTAATCATTTTTTGTCTCTTCCCCTCTTCTCACTGTGTTTGTTAGCTCTTGCAGTGTTGCAAAGCTGTGGCAGTTTTCAATTTTGCCAAGCGGCGGTCGCGGAAGCTGCAGCAAGAGTTTTCATTGAATTTTAATTTGTAATTATGTATGTATGTATGGGTGTGCATGTGATCCACGCATACTCACTCACATTAGGTAGACACTTATATTAATTTCTGCGTGCTTTTCTTTTACGTTTGCTGCATTCAACTGCCACAGTAAAGGAAAAATGTGTATAATTTTGTAGCAGAAATATAACAACAAAATAAATAAAACAAAACAAAAAAAATTATTGCACACACAAATTGCACTGCGTTCGTTGTTGGTGTTGTTATTGCTGTTGTTGTTGCTACTGTTATTGTTGGAATATAGGAGAAAGAGAAAAAAAATACCAATTGGTCACACTTAAAATGGCTTAAAGCAGCAGCCAGTTGGTAGTTGGGTGTGGGGTCTTAGTCTTTCTTGTTTTAATTTTTCTCGTTTCTGTTTCTTGAAATGGGAAAGTTTATCTCAATGACTGCAGCACTGCACAACACACAAACACCTTTACTTCTCAGCCTGTTGTTGTTGTTGTCACCGTTTCTTTCTTCTTTCTTCAGCTCTTGCTGGTCGCTTGACTGCTGATAGTGCAACAAAATTTCACTGAAGCGTTCCGCTTTTGATTTATATATATAATCATGTTTGCATATACATATGTATATCTTTACATGATATGCATGTATGAGTGTATATTTTTATGATATAACTCTGAAATGGAAACTGCATTAAGCTTGTTCGCGATATAATTGCAAGTTGCATTAAATTTCGATTCTATCAATTGTTAGTATTTAATGCGGCAGTGACTAACAAAGCGCCACCACTAAACATCCAAAATTCAATCCCTAACTGGGAAAAAATGTTATACACATATTTTTAAATTCGATTCCTGTATGCTTATCCTGACAAAGCGCAGGACACTGGAGACCAAAAATTGGGACACAGGTTCAAGATAAGGCCCTGTTCGCGAAAAATTTATGTGCATATAAATGAAACCTTTTAGATCCATTTTCCTTCCAGGCTGAGGCTTTAGATAATTGAGGACAAGTGTATTTAAGATTAGTTTTAAAATTTGTTGTAATACATAAATACAATTCAGTTGGTTTTCTATTTATTTTAAAAATGTTGCCCCAATAGAGTAATCTAAAAAGTTTAGCACTGAAAAACATTCTTATGCTTTATGTGTATACTCGTATACGGTTTTTGCTGTGAACGTTAATTTGTCACATGATTTTACTTGTTTTGCTACAATGTCTCGTGTTTAATCAGATAAGACTATTGAGAATCTTAACAACTGTTTAGTTGTTAGCTTGCAAACTCATTTAGTTAGCAAACTAATATATTGTTGTATAAGCGGCCAAGGTGAAAAGTATAAAAAAAGACAAAAAAAGTGCCTAGTTTGATGCCAATCGGCATGCTGGAATCAAAGCAATTAAAGCAATAACAATTCAACATGTATGTTCCATTTAAAGGAAGATAAAGTTTACATACAAACTAGCATTGCAAGAGTAAATTCGGTTAGTTCTGTGGCAATTATAGGATAGTCTCAGTCAACTATAAATTGCTTTTAATATAACCTTCGTAATCATAAATCGTTTTTAGGATTTTATAATTTTATATTTTATGAGCCCTACCATCCCAATTAAGCAGAAATAACGCTAATATGCAGTAAAATATTTTGATAATTCTAAGCCCTTGCCAGCCCGAAAATTAACTTTTTGGCACCGATCTCTACTATGGCAGCTATATCGAACGGCGATTTTATCCAGACTAACCCTATAGCCAAGTTTCATGTCCCCAGCTGAAAGGGTTCTTGGAGCTCGTATAGCCCAACAGGACGGCGAACGAACGAACGGACAGGCAGATATGTCTATATCAATTAGTCTCGTCATGCTGATCGTATATTATATGTAGCTATAATATGGGTCTTCCAAGCCTCCGGCTTTAAGCCTATTCTGCGTGAATAAGAGGAGTCTATAACCCCGTTCTTCTGATGTAAGCTAATATCGTATTTAAGATAAAACGGACAGATATGACTCAGGTACCTTGTTTTAAATAGCTCTGTTATACATCATTCAGGCATTTTTGTTGTCATTCTCTGCTCTTATCTCAGCTAAGACAATGATGATAACGCTTATGGTTAACGCATCCCACCACAGATCTCAAAAAAGCAAAACAGAACAGATCCATTTAAATTTGAGTTGATTTACCCTTTTTTATGTTTTACCGTAATTTATTTTAAGGTGACATGGAATTTCGCAAAATAAATAAACAAAATTGCATTAATTTGTTTAAACATCTGCTCATTAACATTTCTTTTGTGTGGCAATTTCGTATAAACACTGCATTGGGGTTCAAGGTTGAGTCCCGGACTGGAATTCTTATCTAAATACTTGTAATAAATGTGAGATTCGCATTTGTAGGTAAACGGCAATTCCTGCATTAGTCATAACTGGGGTTATTACACTATGATGTACATATATAGGCTCATATGTGTATATCTGCCAAGAACTCTGGTTATTCTGGGCCATCCACTGATAAGCCTTAGACTTGTAATGAAAGGGAGATGCGCTTTTACCTACAAACGGCAATATTTTGATTAGTCATTATAACCTGATAAACCCAAGAATTGAGTCATAACTCGTTTCATCAATTAAATAGACGAAATTAAATAAATCTAATGCTATATTGTAGATTTCAACGAATATGTATTGATCTTTTCACTCTCTTAGAGTCCACAAAGAAGTAAGATTTGAAAAGTGTCTTTCTAAGAAAATTGGTTTGGCAGAAAGCTACATAGTACTTATATAGCAAATAGAATTCCTATTGGTTTTAACTTAAATATACTTTATTCATGACATACCTGTAAAATTCAAAAATGTTTTGTACAAATTATTGAGTAACGTTTTTGAAATTTAAATTCAATTAAAAAACAAAAGAAAACATTTTGCAGCTGGGAAATACAAAAATGCTACTAATTGGGATTTGAATTTTTGGCAGTTTCGGCAACTTTTATAAAGCTATTTTTTTTCTTATCAAAGCATCTATAGTGTAAAGTTATTTTCTATTGGAACAAGAATTGAGCCAGCTTCCTATTAGAATTTTCTCTTTCGCCGCCAACGACGGCGAACGAGAACGGGACGGGCGGTTCTGATTCTGCTGTTGATGCTGAGGCCTGACCCTCTAACCCATTCCACTTATTGTGTGTGTGTGTGTGTGTGCGCGCGCGTCTTTAGATGGGAACAACAAAAAACAAACACGTTTTTGTTGTCGCTTTCTACGCTGGCATTTAACAAAAGCTACGCGCTCTATAGAATTAATGCAGGGGTTTCATTTCGTTTATGGAAATATTCCCCTAAAACAATAAATTCTGTCCGATAGCGGAACACGTGTGTCTTTAAATGTAAATAACAGTGTGTGTGTGCATACATACATATCTGACATGTTCGCAAAATTTACAAACCAGCTATGATTCGTCGGCATTGGCATTTTCTAATTGGTTTTCGTGCCACAAAAATGTAAAACGCGCAGCAAAATGTCATCAGTTGTAATAGCAGTAACAATAATAACAACAATAGCAATCACAGCTTTTGTTCATTTGGCTGGGTGTGTGTTTGTGTTGTTTAAGTTTTTGCGCTTTGTTGGCAACAATTTTAACGTTCATTAACTTTTCCAGAGCCACGACGATAACAATAATAACAAAATTTTAAAACAACAACACAACACCCACAAATATGCATTTGCGTTTGTGTTTAGCTTCTATGCATGTATGTACTCTTTTGTACCGTTAGTTTGTTCACTAGCTTGCATTTGCATTTACATACATACATAATAAAGTTATGTGCATAGAAATGTGTGGGTGTACCTACATACATATGTACATACATACATATGTATATGCTCGTATGTTGGCATTATTTACCTTCCGGTGCACACAAAACACAACTACGACAATAGCACACAAGAAGTGCGTGTTTCTACTGTTACCGTTACCGTTAGTCGTTTTTCGCCATATTTATTTGATAAACAATAGATTTCCAATTAATATTGCACTCACACGTTCGACGTTTCAATGTTCGTTCATACAGACTTATATAAATATATGTTTGTATGTTTAGCAGCAAGTTGGTGTTTTAGCCTGATTTTATTTTACACGTTATTATTGCACTTTGGTTAAAAAGCAAAACACAAAAAAAAACAGTAACGCAACAAGTAGTTTTGCTTTTTGACGCTGTCCCGTTTTTTACCCGTGCTTACAACCACTCGTCACGAAATTCAAGGCGCGACTGATTGATATTATTTGTTTTTGTCGTGACTTCCGAGTGACTTTACTGTGACTTTGTCGCCACTATTTGAATGGCGCAGGTGACAATACATTCAAAGTAACAGGTAAGCACAATGAAACACGCTGATTTTGCCAACAAATCATTTCTATAATTAAGTAAAGTAGTTTACTTACCAAGCATTTTTTAAAATCGAAGACAGTTCGGCTGGGATTTTCATTTAGCTTTTCGAATGCAAATGCAATTGCTTTAAATAAATAGTATTAAATAAATAACTGCATGCAAAAATCAATATGATGATTAGCTATAATTAAAAGGAATTTTACTTACAATAACAATTATTTGCTTAAGTTTCCAATTCTATTCGTATAAAAGTCGCAGTTGTAACTTAATATTTAAATGTAACAGTAACAGCTGCACTTTTTGACCCATCTCTGTGGTAGAGGTAAGTAGCTGAGTGGTGAGTTCGGTGAATTTAAATGATATCGATGATACACCGATATCTGCCGCTGCCAGCTGATAGCTAGTTGTGGAAGATAAAAATAAATATGTTGTTGCAAGAGTGAGAGTTTTTACAGATGTGCGCAAACAATTAAAATACAAAGTAACGGTACGTTCGCATAGTTATTGCAAAAACAGCACAATCGAGAGAAATAAAATCAACGTATTTCCTGCTATCTCTGCGCCTTCAAAAACTTCTCAGTGTGGCTTAAAATCAAGAATTTTATTACTGGTGATTTAGTAAATAATTGTGTGTTTATTTTTTATATAATTTTAGCCATAGCCAACCCACACAACGACACAAACACGAACGCTCTATAATCTATTGCAGGCACTTTTTTCGCGCTATTGTTTTTGATTTTTGTGCGTCGCAAATTAATGCCTTCCGTTTTTTCCCAAACAAGAAAAATGTACATGCATATGTTTTGTGTAAATTCTCTCTCTTAAGTTGAATTGTTTGTTTGGTTCATTTTTTTTCAGTTGACAACAAAACAGAGAGCAATGGACGATGCAAAGCTGCGTCGGAGTGTCTACAAAAGCATTGACAGCTTTTCCCATTTACCAGCTGGCCAGGCCCAGGGCTATCTGCAGGCTAGCCTGAAGAACTCCCTCGACTATGTGCAGCGTTTGGCGCTAATGGACACCTTAAAAATACACAACGGGTGTGTTAATACGGTTAATTGGAATGCCAGTGGCACGTATTTGGTGTCCGGTGCCGATGACAACCACTTGGTAATCACCGATGCCAAGAACTATCGAGTGGCACTCAAGAGTCCAACAAAGCATAAGCGGCACATCTTCAGTGCCCGCTTTATGCCAAATACCAATGATCAGGCGGTTATCTCGTGCTCTGGCGAGGGCCTCGTCATTCATACTGAGTTCTTGACACTCTATGGAGCTGGAAAGGCCAATGTGGAGGAGGCACTTATCAAAGATCAGGATCGCCACAGCAGCCACTTTAGTTGCCAAAAATATGGCACCACTTACGATGTGTTGCCGCTGACCGACAATCCCCGCACCTTCATCAGCTGCGGCGAGGACTGCACCGTCCGCTGTTTCGACTTGCGTATCAGCAGCAAGTAAGTAGTTCGTGGTCCAACTGATGCACAGAATTCAATGCCCAAGTCTCTCGCAGATGCGCCTCTCGTGTGTGCACCAAACACGCTTATATTGTGGCGCCCACTTCCATTACCGCCATGGATGTTTCGCCTGTCCATTATAATCTTTTGGCCGCCGGCTGTACCGACTCCATCATACGCATCTACGATCGTCGCATGCTCGGCACACCCAATACCACGAATGGAGCGAATGGGGTGAATGGCCCCGAGGCCACATCGCGCGTTCTGAAGGCCTATCCCATTCCCATGGAGTATACGCATCGCCACTACCGTCCGACTTGCGTCAAATTCAGTCCAAACGAATCAGAACTGCTTATCAGCTACTCGATGGACCACATATATCTATATGATTTGAAGCATCCAGGCTATTCGGATGCCAAGCTCTTAAAGAGCGATTGCTATACGGATAAGGTGCGTCGCGAGGACGCCTTTTCTGATCCAAATCAGGAAATGCCGCGGCTTCGCTTTCGCGGAGATTGGTCCGACACCGGTCCCAATTCCATGCCCCCCACCGAGGGCATCGAACGACCGAACATAGGCCAAGCCCGACCCTCTCTCACGCCGAACGTGCTAAGTCGCCTCAGCGACGAGATCATTCGTATGATTAATTCCCACTCACGTCTTGGACGCACCCTTGCTCTGCGCGGGCCCAGAGCCGTTGAGGCTTTCATTAGTAATTTGGAAAACAGGGCAGCGGCTGCCAATCGAGGACCGCCGGTACGGGAAGTTGTGGCTTCACCTGAACTGGAGTTGGCAGAGCGGCCAGCAGGGCTAGCGCCATTAAGGAACGGTCAGGGCACAGAGAAGGAAGCAGAATCCTGTAATTACGCCTCAGCTAGTGCCCTATTTATATATTTAAGTTTAAGCTTTTTATGCTCCACAGTTGGCCTGATCCGCGCAGCTAAAAAAGATGACAATGGCGAAGGCGCAGACGAAGGCGATGGCAACAACGATGAGCCAAACGATAACGAGGAAGGGGAGGATGGCCAAAAGTATCCAATTACGGAATTCAATTACGTCATAAAGAAGTTCACCGGCCACCGAAATTCCCGCACCATGGTGAAGGGTGCCTCCTTCTGGGGCGACGATTTCATAATGTCCGGCTCGGATTGCGGTCACATTTTCATCTGGAATCGCCATACGGCCAAAGTGGTGAAGATTCTGGTTGCCGATAATCGTGTCGTCAATCGCGTGCAGCCACATCCGACCTTGCCGTATCTGGCCAGTTCGGGCATTGATTACAATGTCAAATTGTGGGCCCCTATTGAGCCGACACCCAGAAACGACGATAAGGCCATCGTTACAGTATGTATAGCAAAATTATTTACCAACTTATGCAACTTATTAAAGTATTATCAAAAAGAAATCAGCGTAAGATCACGAAATATAGTTTCCTAATGCTAATTTTGGGTCTTACTCTAAAGTTTTTAGAAGCTTTCTTCCACACCTTACGACTCATCTGTTGTGGCTCTTTTCCATTTTCCAGCTGATGAAAAGCAATGAGATTATGCTAGAGGAGGCGCGTTCTACCATTACCGTGCCGGCTCCGGTTATGATACGCGTGCTGGCCAATATGCATCAGTCCCGTCAAAGGGCGAACAGTGATAATGCTCCGCCAAATGAGGCCCAACCCGCTCCAACTCCCGAGGAGGCTGTTGCCAGAGAAGAAGAGACTGCTATGGCAGGATCGGCAGCTACTGCTGGCCAGCAAAACGTTGCCAACGACGACGAAGACGACAACAATGGCGCTCAGAACTTTCATTAAAAATCTAGTCATAGCTTCTAAGAACGGGCTGTCAGCTCCACACACACACGCACAACATCTACAAACCTGGATCGAACCTACACATACAACGAATTAGAAAAAAAATACAAAATTACATACATTCCCATCAACCATTACACTTATGCCTCCCTTCGTTGCTTTCTCCTCCAAACGACTCAAAAATCAAGGGACAACACATGAATGATTACTAAAAGTTACAAATTGTCAAATACAAAAGCATTTTTAAGGCATCTAAAACGACAATTAAGTGTTATTAAATTGTTTATTAAGGCATCTTAAACAATTGCATATTTCTTAAGATATAAATTGAGAGATGACAAAATTCAATAAGTGCTTTTAAAATACAATTGATTTTTTTTTTTAATTTCTTTTAAGTTATAAAATATGAATTAACAAGATCTAAGACGACAAAGTTTGAAAATTGTTGTTTAAGCAAAATTATTAATGGATTTAAAACGATAATTGAAGATCTCTAAGATTTAAGACTATCAAATATTTTCAAATTGCTTTCTAAAAAAGAAATATTGAAGAATTTGAATTTCAAAGACCGAAATTGTTAAGAATACTATAAATACTCACACAGGCTTGCATATAGGAAACACATATTTTATTTCGCAAACATTTGCTATTCTATTTAAGCTTTTGTTTGTTAGTTTTAATTTTTTTTTTGCAATTTGCATTCTTGGCTGACAGCCCCATTAACAAATACATAAAAACAAAAACAACCAACAATCTAGACATTTAAGCGAGATAAGTGGCTCCTATATGCATTGCAATACCAAATAGCCCCGTTTATACAAACAAACATGCATACAGACTTATTTAGATCCCAAAATTTTGATGTGAATATTTGTCGGTGCGCACCTATTTAGTATTTATTGCATAACTAATATACATTTATTATAGAAATTCAAACAGTTGTTCCTTCTTAAACTAAATCCCAATGTGATACATCATTAAAGAATGTATAATCATTGTAAGCTTTTCAACTGCTTGTTTCTTTTCTGACATTTGGAAGTAGTGCTGCCCAATAAACTTGTTTTACTACATTTTAGTCGTTCCCCGAGGAGCGTTTGACTCCACATGTTGGTCTTTAAATCGACGAATCGATAAGCGTCTGTATGAACAGTTTAAGTGGACTTACCCTATCCATACGCAGATCATAAGTATATAACTTCATTCCTTTGTATAGCTGCCACAGAATCGATCGGTGGAATAACTTTTAGTGAATTAATTTTGTTTGTCTATGAAGATATCCTTTTAAAAAAAATGGTATTTATGAGTATTGTATTGTATCTCATAATATATAGTTTTCATAGCAACGATCGGTGCAAACCCAATTTCCAAGTTATGCATAATGTTAATTCTAATATTTTTACATAGTTATTTAATCATGAATCTTGCATAATGCTTAGCCAAGTATGTTCTGATGTTTCAACAAAATCGGTGTACTATGTCACATAACTATCATAGGGATGATCGGTGTTTGAGCTTTCACTAATGTCTGTATATACATATATTTTGAAGGTTCCTAAAGTTTATGCGGAACTGTGGAATAAGGGAAGTTTGGAGGGCAATTTAAATTCCGTCGATGATGTCAAAGGTTTAATGCATTTTATTTAAATTTTTCTTCGAAGCTACCAGACTATTGACCCTAGGCCGGACTGGGAGTTTTTCCGACAATCACATGAGTCAAATTTGAAAATCCAAATTGAAATTTGGGTGTACAACCCTTGTTCATCCATTTATATTTTTCACCGGAAATACTGCTCAACCCACAAGTTAGTTTGATTTTTGCAGAAGATGTTTAATTACGTATTTATACGAACTTGTAAATTATAAACTGTTGTAAACAAAAATAAAAATACGACTCGATAATTTGTACATTTTATATAAACATCTTATGTACATACATACTCGTATATGTATGGTTTGAAAGCATTTTTATTTGTTATGCACAGTTTGGAGTAAAATTTAAAACTATTTTAGTGGGCGCTAGAAACTATATATAATTAAAGGTACGAATATCCGCACACTAGGCTTTGAACAGTTTATTGGGGAGTTAAACACACAGACTACTAATACTCTACAGCTACTTAAATTACTGATTATCTCCATCAGTTGCGGCGCAGTCCAAGACTTTCGATTGTCTCCTTCATAGCCACTTCGTTCAATCCCTCCGAGTCCTGCTCGATGTTGTTTATATTATTGTTATTAGTTAAACTATTAATGCTGTTTGTGGCAGTTCTACTGGAATCATTCAATTGCATATTTGCTGAATAGATGTGCATGTGCGCCAGCGCTACATAATGCCCGTTCTCAGGTCCAGCACTGCCGGCAGTACGTTCCAACTCCAGCTGTTGTAGTTGTATTGGGGGTGGTGGTGGTGCGGGTGGTAGTGGTGATGGCAGCTGCAAACGTTGGCGTCGCACAGGTGGTGAACACATATCCATGTCCTGCTCAGCATTGGATTCTGATGCCTCTGTATTGGGGTTCCCGTTGCCGTTGCTGTTACCATTCCTTGTATATAGTCCGTGACGGGCTATGGCCGCATCGATAGCAATATCGAAGACGGGAAAACGGGGCAGGGCTGCAGCTCTGCGGTAATGTCGAACTATTTCCAAATTTATATAATTTTCGCGCTGGGCCTCCCATAGAATTTCCTCATACCTCATGTTATTAACTGTTGTCGTTGGCGAAAAAACGAAATAAAATAAACATATGTACATACATACATGCATATCGATATACCCACTCTTCAAAATGTATGTGGAAACTTACAATTGCGATTTGCGCGTCTAAGCGCAGTATTCTCCATGTTGAGTTCTGTCTTTTTGCAAATATATTAATATTCTTCCAACCATTCGGTAAATACGATAAACTAGCCAAAATCTCAGTCCCAATTCCAACTATTGGTTTTGTAGTTTGGCATTGACAGGCGCCTAGTTAGGCACTTACACATATGTGTACTTGCACATGTATGTATGAATATCTATACATGCGAGTGCATGTGTTGGACAGCATATTTATATTATATTTTTATTTGGTATTTTGTATTGTCTAACACTGGTATGGGATGTATGAGTCTCGCGAGTCGCGACAGAGCCACATGCACAATCGAAATCGTTTAAACATCAGTTCGGCACGACGGCTCGTCGGGTTCAGTAAAAGAAAAAGAGAGAAACAAAATTAACGCTGAAAATTTTGTCATAAAGAAATTGTAATGCAGTCAATAAATAAAATTGGCGCAATTTATACGCGAACTTAGTGACGTAGGTTGTCTGTGTAAGAGACACGCGCCGCAAATAATTTTTAAATAATTTGAACCGCACAAAAAAGCAAGCAACAAACATAAGAAAAATTACAATAATAAAAGCAATGTAGAAAAAATTAAGCATTTCCAGCATTCGCTCAAAATTTCGATAGAAAATTATTTTTCTTGCGACTGCACGACTACTCGCTGAGTTATCTCGTTATAATACTGACAAGCGAGATGACTTAACAGTAGCTAGCTCGCTCTCACGCACACCCATATACCTAAATATGTGGTGTGGGCCATGCAAGTTATTTGCCATCTCTCTCGTTTCCGTGTCGTCTGCGGATCTGTTGTGTCGCGTGTGTGTGTGTGTTTGTCGGAGTGTTTGCATAAATGTGTGCGTGTTTCAATCCGGCGGCTGCAACAAACAACAGAAACCGCTTTAACAAAAAAATTGTAAATAAATAGTCGCGGCGATCGCATTTTATTTGCGAATGGGTTGCTGTCCACGAATTTAATACACCTCATGCAACGTTAAATGGCACATTTACAGATTTTATTTGCCATTATTATGACCATGTAGCAAATATTATAATTCTATTAAATTTATTAAATCGTATAATAGTTTGTTGTGACCGCCGGTTGGCTGTCACCAGACAGAGATAGCTTTAGCAATGTGTCCCTTTTGGGATGTTTCAATTGTATTCTATTCTATATTCAATAGTGCCGTAGGTAGTCGAAGTCGCACAGACGGCCACGGCATAAACATGCCCATTTACACTATACAACACTAGTCAGTCTGAGAAGCTCGTTGGTTTGTTATCTAGCTCTCGCTTGCTTGCGCCCGCCATATGTATGCGCGCTCTCTCGCACACACACACACACACAAGCAAGCCGCCTATTAGTAAAACGATTTTTTCTACACTTGCTTGTTCATATATTCGTCACTCGTTCAAGACTCTGGTTAAGTGCGCACGCGCTCTCTTTTTACTCGCTCGCTCTCGCATTGGCACGCACTACACTGATGAGAGCGCTAAGAGCATGAGAGTAAGCACTCGTTCCTTTATGGTGCTGCTACTCGATGGCTACAACACATACACTACAGCCGTTTCAGCTTCAGTCTTTCTTTCTAGTTCTGTTGCTACTCGTTCGCGAAATCAGTTGACTTTCTGCCTACTGCAACACAAGCGGACGAAAATTTTTTGTTTTAGTGTTGCAAAAAGTTTGTAAAAATTATTATAAATCGTGCAAAAATGTGAAAAATATATGGTATAAATGCGAAATTCGAGAAAATTCCGCAGAATAATACAAAATTTTGTGCAATGGGAAAATAAAATTTTTTAAAAATAAATTGAAATAATAAAATCGCCTGAATTTTTTTTATAATTTTCTACGTATTTTTAGTGAATTTCGTATTTTGTGCAAACAATTTTAGGATTTTTTTAAAAGCCGCTAAAAAATCAAAACGTTCATTGAACACAAAAAATTTCTGCAATAGAAAACTTTGATACGACGTGAAGAAGAAAACGACGAGCAGCGACACCAAAAAAAATGGAATATATTTCTGTCGTCTGTTTTTCTTTCTTTTTCCAATGCTGCTCGCACTCGTTGTGAGTGCCATGCCTGTGCCAGTGTGGTTGTGTGTATTCACACCAATACCAATACAACATTTTATGGCGTTCGCTCTCAACTCGTTGCTTTTGCCGCCGCTGTATGCGTGCGTGTTTATGTGTGTGTAGTGAAAACGTTGCCGCGTCCCGCTACGCACAGAATATCTCTATGAGTGTGTGTGTTCCTTTGGGCAGCTCACTTTTATGCGCTGTACTCGTCGCTTCAATCGGCCTTTGTGAGTGTGCGAGCGTATGGCCAACCAACCAACCAGCTCCGTTGTCACATCACCATACGGTGAAAAGCTTCAAAAAGTAAAGCTGCTACTCGTCACTTTGGCCGTCTGGACGGCAACGAGAAGACTCGCAACGTAGAAACTACGTTTGTAGTCAGAGCCAAGAGCTCAATTCAGCACGGTAGCATCAAGACAGAGCAATAGTTTAGAAATGCGGAAGCAAAATATTGTAAATAAATGCAATGATTTAGATCCGGTAGTCCACCCGTTTCAATAATAACAAAGGACCTATTATGCCCATGCTACTCTCCTATTTGCTCTTCTGTTCAATTTATATTGATTGTTTACAACATTTTGCGCGCAATTTTCATGCAGGCGGCAAATGTACTTGTAATGTTGGCAAATACAAAGTGCAACAACAAAAACAACACTTTCCACAACAGCCTCTAGTATTGGCCAAAAAATTGAGAGCGAGTGTAGAATATACCAGGCAGATAGGTTGACCTTTATTTTTTTAATTTTTATTAAAAGTGCAAATTTAATTTATTTTATTATATTTCGTTTGTGATGTCCAAAAATCGTTCTAGTGGCGGGCGCTCTCTCAATTTTATTGTAGCGCCCATGTTATCATGTTTCTCTTACAGCTATGTGCAATGTTATATACAAACGAATATAAACACGATAGCAACGGAATAGAACAGAAGCAGAAACAACAAGAGCAACCATAAATATATAATAATAACGTACTTGTTAATAAATATATTTAATGCATAATTTACCTTCAGAAATAGTGCTACGAAATTCGCTTATAAATTTATTTAAAAAAGAAGAAAAGAAATGTTAACGCGGCGTGCAACACAAAAACAAAGTAAGCAAGCAAAACAGAACGAAAAACGCAACGCCAAGTAAAATGAACAGTGGGAGCAATAGCATCAGCAACAAAAACAACAAACACAAGCAACAAGAACAATAACAATTACAACAATATTAATATGAACAAGAGCAATGCAAAATGTTAACGCAATAAAAAAGAAATCGAAACAAATCCGGCAGCAGCCGCGCCGCTAACAGCATCTGTTAAATGCAACATCGCGCGCGCTCGCTTGCTGCTTCTTCTTCTGTTTCTTTCACAACAATATATTTACTACACAATACAGCAACAACAAAAACATAAACGCATTTTCAAAAATAAAACAATGTGCGTGCGTAAAAGCTAGTAGTATCAGAGGCGGCAGCAACAACAAGAACAGCAAAGGCAGGAACGTCAACCCAGAAAAATATCCACAATTTTTTAAACCAAATTACGACCGATTTTTGTAAATTCGGTCGATTTGGTGAATTTTTGGCGCCTACCACAAAATGCACTCGAGCGTATGCTGCGGTTCAATCAACAACACAAAAAATACCATCAACAACAGCAACAACAACAACAAACACAACGAGCAAGTAGAACGCAGCAACGAAGCAAAACAACAATATAAGAAATTACTGGGAATAGTGAAGCAGCAAAAGCACAAACGGTCACAAGAATTGACTGTTAAAAAAGAAGGAGTAGCTGCCAGAACCGGCAACCACAACCACAACGATCTCAGAAGGAAAGTTGCAGCAACAAAGTTGAGAAGAAGGAGGACAGCAACACGGACTTTCAGAAGGCGCAAGTGTAAAGTAATTAATGCGCGAAGAATAGCATCAGCAGGAGCCACAATAGCTACTACAGCAGCAGCAGAAATAACAGCAGCAGCGGCAGCAGCAACGACAGCAAAAACAATAACAAAGGAGTTGCAATATCCACCAACTCCCGCAACTTTATGCAAATCATCATCGTTTCGAAAACTTAAAGTACTACTCAAAAAAAAATTGTGCGCGTTGTGTTTTCTTCTTCATCATCATCTACGACTTTATCATCGTTGTGTTCTATCTACTCCTCTACGCTAATTTGAGAAGAAGAAATGGAATGAAAAGAAAGTGATGTTGTGTTTGTTAATAAATAAACCAACTAAATGAACCAAAAATTTTTAAAAAAGTGTATCGAGCAGCCTGTGCGTAAAACTTTTAGATTGATTGACAAAACAGAGAGCAAAGAAAACATATTCGACGACTTTACATGACGAGCTCTGAGAATTCATATTGCTAAAAAATAAAACATCAAAAGATCACAACACAAAAACAAAACACACACACATACATATTTTTTTATCGTGTGCACACCGGCCAGTAGTCATTTCTCCGATAACTATTTTCGTGAGTGGTTGCGAGCACGCATTTGTTGTGCCCAGCACCCTTCTTCAACAATATAGACCAAGAAGAAGAAGACGAAGAAGACGGCGACGAAGAAGATTTGCGACTGCTGAGAGGCAAGTAGCAAGAGCAAGAATAGGAACAACGATAACAGCAGCTACATGATGGCCGATCATTTGGACGAACCGCCACAGAAGCGGGTCAAAATGGATCCCAGTGAGTATTCCATTCAATAATATACGAGTATAACAGTCAGGAAGGCCGGTTTTATAAACTTTAAATGAATGAAATTCAAGATAAATTTTAAATTTGTGTGACATATTTCCTGAATTATATAAAATGCTGCTACATCCAGCGGTAGTCCATAAGATAAACGGGGAAAAAGTTGACAGTAAATTAAGAGAAATAAAGTTGAAATGAACGTTAAAGCGAAAATCTTTCTTATTGGCAGTTTGTTTTGAACAACAACAAAATCAACAGGTCTGGTTCCAAAATATACAAATTGCTGGCGATAATTTGAAAGCTGTTAAATATTTGAGATTTCTAGTTTTATTAGTCCTTAAACTCTACCATACTATAAATTAGCATTATTAGTAAAATATTTAGTTATTTTCTAGACCAACCTATACTATATATCAATATGCTTGGTTTTCGGGGGGTCCTTGCGCCAAATGACGTGATTTATCCGTTAAAAATTGGGCACAATTGAATTAAAACGCAAACTTTTAGGATTGTGCTTTCGATTTAGCTAATTATGCCAGGTGTAAAAATATTGCTCTCTAATTTCAAACTTTAAATTACTTTTGATTTAACTTTTGCCTTTAATGCTCCTTAAACATTGTTAACAATAAATTGTGGCTAGCTTTTGTGATTCGAAGAGCTTCTCATTGTAATATTGTAAGAACGAAACGTATTTTTGGACCATACATAGGTGAACCATTATTTTTGGATATTTTTCTGCTTATATAGGTATTAGTTAAATTATATTTAATTAAAATAGATGATTAGGCAGTTTTTAGGCGGATTGTGGCATTGCATTTAAATTATGGAACAATATTTAATTTCCTTTTGCTTCTGTTGTTCCCACAGCTACGGATTTCCTTTTCCTGGAGGACAACCTGCCCGACGAACTTGTATCGTCGAATAGCGGTTGGACAGATCAACTCAGCGGCACTACCGGTGGCGGTGCCGGTGCTGGTGGTGCTCCAGTTGTTGGAACGGGTGGCGGTAACGGTCCCGGAGTTGGCGGTCCCGTGGGTGGAACCGTTGTGACGGGCGCTCTTGGCGTAGTCGGTGGTGGACCAAATAAACCGCCCGCCCAGGGTCCCGGTCCCGGAGTTGTGCCACAAGTGAATGGCGCAGGTGGCGGTGGTGATGATGGCAGTGGAGGTAATGCGGGTCCAGCTGGCAATCAATTGCGCCAGATGCAGCATCACCAACTGCAGCAATTGCTACAACAGCAACAACAACAGCAGCAACAGGGCAACAAAAATACATCCGCTGGCGGTGGTGGCGGCATGGTGGTACCTGGCATGGGTGGCGCCGCAGCTGCCGCAATGAACCAATTGGGCAGCAAGTCACCAAATCTGCAATCACCAAACACAGGCGGCATGCAGGTCCCACAAATGAGCATGGTTAATTCCATGCCTATGTCCATATCGAATAATGGCAACAACGGCATGAATGCCATACCAGGTGGGCATCTAGTCTGGCAATTAATTTCCATTCATCCAGTTATGTAACATCAACTCTTCTGCTCTTTCTCTTCCCATCACTTTATCACAGGTATGAACACCATTGCACAGGGTAATCTCGGCAACATGGTGCTGACCAATAGCGGCGGCATGGGCAGCATTGGTGGAGCCGCCGGAATGGTGAATACCTTGAAACAGCAAATAGGCAGTGGCGGGGGTCCACCCATAGCTGGTGGCGGAAACATGATGGCCGGTGGTGGTCCCGTTGGCGGCATGGTTGCTGGCGGGGGTGCACCCAACCAGGGCATGCATATGGGTGGTGCCGGTGGTCCAGGAATTCAGAATGGGCCCATGATGGGTCGCATGGTTGGACAACAGCATATGTTACGGGGACCACATATAATGGGCAATGGTGGCGGCGGTGGTGCTGGCGGCGGTGTCGGTGGCAATGGTCCCGGAGGCGTTGTCGGCGCTGGCGGTGGACCACGCATGCAGAATCCGAACATGCAAATGGGTAAGTAATGCGCATTAGCAGCAGCCTCAACCACCAGAACCATCAATTATATTTCTTTGTCTTCCCCTCTCCACTAATCCTTCAAAAGGTCAACTTAATAGCATGGTGGCTGCTGGAGTACCCTACGGCGTGGGAAGCTATGGTCCGGCCGGTGGTGGCAACAATGCGGCACAGCAGCAGCTACTCGTCCAACAGATGGCGCAGCGCGGTGGTGTCGTTCCACCTAACATGAGTGCCGGTATGCCACAGGGCAATCGACCAGTGGGCACTGTGGTGCCAATGTCGAATTTAGGCGGCGGCAACGATGGCGCACCACCTGGTTCAGGACTGGTGGGTGGACCACAACAGCAATTGGGTGGCCCAAACTCACAAATGAACCCCCAACAGCAACCGTCGCTTGGTGGTGTCGGTCTCGGTGGTCAGCCCATGGGAGCTCGTGCACCACAGCCGGGCGGAGGCCCACAACAACAGCAAGGCAATCAGCAGATGTTGCTGCCCCAGCAACAGCAGCAACAACAGCCAGGAACATCACAGCAGACAAGCGCGGTCCCAGGCGGTCCACCAGCACCGCCGCAACAGGCGGGCATGTCCGATGATCGCAAAAAGCAAATACAACAGCAATTAATGTTGCTGTTGCACGCGCACAAATGCAATCGCCGCGAAAACCAGAATCCCAATCGCGAAGTCTGCAATGTGAATTATTGCAAGGCCATGAAGACGGTGCTAGCGCATATGGCCACCTGCAAGCAGAGTAAAGACTGCACCATGCAGCATTGCACCTCATCTCGTCAGATATTGCTGCACTACAAGACCTGCCAACGACCGGATTGCATAATTTGTTTTCCATTTCGTCCCAACAACATATTTCAGCCTGCGGGTGGAGGTGGCAATGCGGGTGGCGCAGGTGCCGGTGGAGCTGGCAATGGCGGTGCTAACGGCGGCGGCGGCAACAATAACACTAATGCGAGCGGCAATAGCGTTCCCAACCAACCACCTCCGATGATACAACAGCTACATCAGCAAACGGTGGCGCATATGCAACAACAGCAGCAACAATCACAACAAGCGCTTCAGCAGCAGCAACAACAACAACCCGGAGGTGGTGTGGTGGATAACAAACAGCAGCAACAGCAGCAGCAGGTGCCTGTTGGCGGTAGTGCTGGCGGAGTTGGTGGAGGCAATGGAGCGCCGAATACGGCAATTGTATTGCCCCAGCAGCTACAACAGATGCCCGGAGGCGGTGGTGGTGGTGGTCCCAATGTGGTGACCACAGGTCAGGCTGGCCAGCAACAACTGGGTATGAAGAGTAATGCGGACTTGAGCCAACAGCTTACGCAGCAGCAGGATATGCGCCGCTTTGACGGCGGTGGCAACATGTTACCGCAGGTGGCATCTGGTCAACAGGGACCAACGACCTTGCTGCCTAATCAGGGCATGCCGCATGGCATACGAATGCAGGGAGCGCCTTCGGTGCGCGTGCTAGGCGTACCACAAGGCGGTGGGGCGGCAGGCGGTCCGCTTGCCGGTGGTGGTGGCAATAACATGTTGCTTAATGCGGCCGGCGCCACCGGCAATAACAATGATGTGGTAGTTGGTGGTATGCAGCAGCCAAATACTGTGGCGCAACAGCAACTTCTGCTACAGGGCTGTAATGCTGGCGGTGGTGGTAACGCCAACCGTCGGCGACCCGCTATCGCCAACATGGTGGATAACACCAATGCCATGCAGCAACAGCAATCTAACACAAATTCTCAGCAAGCGAACATTCCACTATCAGTCAATGTGCACAATTTTAATAATTCCAATTTTGGCGGTGCATCCGGTGGTGACAACAAACAGCAGCAACAACAGCAGCAGCAACAACAACAGCTGGTTAATCAGTCGGAGCAGCTGGCCAAAATGAAGCTTCAGGCGCATGGCGGCAATGTGGTGGCGCCCAATGCTCTAACCACGGGCGCGCCCGGTAATAATGTAGTACCCGGCGGTGGTGGTGCTGGTGGCTCTAGCGTCCTTATGCCAGCTGATACCACAGGTGGGAATGCAGCCACCGGGAATGCGCAGAACATCGGTGGCAATTCTGGTGGCGGTGGTGCCAGTGGCAGTTCAGGCGGAACTGTCGGTGCAGGCGATGAAAAGGACTGGCGTGAATCTGTCACTGCAGATCTTCGCAATCATTTAGTGCACAAACTGGTGCAGGCCATTTTCCCCACCTCGGATCCCACAACCATGCAGGACAAGCGCATGCACAATCTCGTCTCATACGCGGAGAAAGTCGAGAAAGACATGTACGAAATGGCCAAGTCACGTTCCGAGTATTATCATTTGCTGGCCGAGAAGATATACAAGATACAAAAGGAACTGGAGGAAAAACGGCTCAAACGCAAAGAACAGCATCAGCAACAGCAACAGATGCTCCAAATGCATCAGCAAGGGGCGGGTGGTGCTGCAAATTCCATGCCCAACAACAATGGTGGTGGCAATGTGACCGCCCAGCAGCAACAGCAACTGGTTGTGTGTGGTCTCTCGTCTGGGGGCGGTGGTGCAGGTACCGGCATCAGACCTATCATCAGTCCCATGGGAAATGCGACGGCTATGATGCAACCACAATTGCGAGCACAGGCACCCACTGGCATGATGGGTCAGCAACAGCCCAATATGGTGGTGACAAACATGCGTAGTCACTCACCCGGTGGCAATATGTTAACCATACAGCAGCAGCAGCAACAGCAGCGCATGCAATTTCCGCAGCAGCAGCAACAGCCCGGTCAGGGCAACATGCTCGTTGGACCACCAGGACCCAGTCCCAACAACAATGGCGGCGGCAGCAATCTCAACATGGTAGCCAATCCTGTACTTTCCCCATTCACGGCGCAGGCAATTCAGGCGTCTGGTGGTTCTGGTGTGCTTACAAGTCCCGTACCGGGACAATCGCAGCAGCAGCAGTTCCTTAATGCCAATGGCGGTGGCGGCGGTGGCTCACAGACAGTACAACAGCTTAATGAGATTATAATGAAGCAACGACTGCAGCAGCAACAACAACAACAGCAAGCCACTGGTGGCATGTTAATGCCACAATCGCCCTTCAATAATGCCACACCCATGCAAAATGCCTTCACCTCGCCAATGCAGCAGACGGCGGTGACGCAGCAACAACAGCAGCAGCAACAACAACAGCAGCAGCAGCAGCAACAACAGCAGCAGCAGCAGCAACAGAAGCCTCCCTCCGTTTTGAATAATATGCCTCCCACGCCTACAAGCTTGGATGCATTGACTGGAGCGGGTGGCGGTGGTAGTACGAGTGGCACCAACTTAGTTGCCGCGCCCAGTCCCTCGCCCAGCTTCATGTCCAATGGACCGATTGGCACACCCTCAAACAATCCGCCCTCGGTGTCTTCAATAATGCAACCAATGAGCAATCGTGCGGCAACGCCGCCTTTCCTGCCAACATCACCAGTACCAGCGACCAGTGCGACGGGTCTAACTGCAAGCACCACACCGGCATCGGCAGCAGCCACAAGCTCGTGTGGTTCGAGCAGCAGCAACGGCTCCACAAGCACAACAGCAACAACAACTGTGGTGGCTTCCAATACACCACTGAGTGCCTGCGCCTCCTCGTCCTCCTCAGTGGCAACACCTACGTCAGCAACCACTGGAACCACCGCCACTGCCTCGACAACGGGTCCGGCATCTTCAACGCTATTGCTTATGGCACGAAACAACAACAGCAACAGTGATGGCCAACGCATGATGAGTAGTTCTTCATCCTGCCTGTCCTCACAAATGGCAGCGCTGGAGGCAGCGGCACGCGACAATGACGATGAGACGCCTTCACCCGGTGGTGCCAACGATACCAATAGCAACAGTGGCAACGGCGGCGGCATGGCCTCCAAGGGTAAACTGGATTTCATAAAGCAGGAAGATGACATCAAGAAGAAATTTATGGACGACAGCTGCGGCGGCACGGGCGATAACTCACAAATGGAATGCTCCACAGCAGGTGTTGGCAAGAATGTTAACAACGATGGCACCAGTGTGGTCAAAACTGAAGACGGGGCCGATTGCGATGAAAAAATCAAAATTAAAACGGAGCCCATGGATGTCGATGAGACGGCTGGCGGTACAGATGGGAAGAATGATGTTAACGGTAGTGGCATCGATGGAGTGGCCACCGGCAGTGTTTCCGATATCAAAATTAAAACAGAACTGAAGCCAGTGGTGCCTCAACCTATAGCGCCTAATGCGGGCGACAAAAAGAAGAAATGCCGTAAGTAGAAAAAAACTGACGCCAGTTATGGCTACAAAATTATAAAGTAATATGGGGCTCTTTATAGAAATATAATTAAAACAAGATCCTAATGCCATTTGAAGCATATCTTAAAGTATTGGAGAAAACATTACACCACAAATAAATATATATTTAACACACACATACATATATTCCTTCAGAATTTAATCCAGATGAGTTGCGCAGTGCTCTGATGCCTACATTGAAGAAACTCATGGATCAGCAGCCTGAATCCGTGCCATTCCTCGCGCCCGTAGATCCGACGACATTAGGCATCCCCGACTATTTTGAGATTGTGAAGAAGCCCATGGATCTGAGCACAATCAAAAATAATATACTCAATGGCAAGTATAGTGATCCATGGGAGTACGTGGATGATGTCTGGCTAATGTTTGACAATGCCTGGCTTTATAACCGTAAGACATCCCGTGTCTATCGCTACTGCTCCAAGGTAAGTGGAAATGTTCATGCAACTCCTTCCTCCTAGCTTATAAGTAATACTCTTTGAAACGAAGTAAGGAGATTTAAATTCAACTAAATACTCGATCTTAATAGAGGAAGAAAATTACCATGTAATCTCGCTCTATCTTTCATTTTCTCATTAATAAAATTATGGGCAAAAAGATTTTCATTTCATTTCCATTTCCCTTGATCTGCTGAAGATAATCTGCTATAACAAAACTATTCAAAACAAAGAAATTACATGAAAATTAAAACTCTAACTTAATAAAGAAAGAAAGGAACCGTCTCTCTCCGTCTGTCCAAGAATCCACACCAAATCTCTATTATTTCTTTATTTTTTTTTTATTACTTTTTTTTTTTATACCATTCCTTTTGAACTGCTAAGATAATCAATTTGGCTTTGTAAAGCTATAATTTTGCTATTAGTAGCTATAGTATTATATTTATTAACATCCATACATTCTATTTCGTTGCAGTTGTCGGAGGTATTTGAGGCTGAAATTGATCCTGTGATGCATGCTCTCGGCTATTGCTGCGGTCGCAAGTACACCTTTAATCCACAAGTGATCTGCTGCTATGGCAAACAGCTGTGCACAATACCCCGCGATGCCAAGTACTATAGCTACCAGAACAGGTATGGGTCTTACCCCCTCTTATGAATATGTATATCCCTCCACACATATACATACATATATTAATTTTCTAAAAAATCAAGCCTAAAAACAAAAAGGATATTTGCCTTGTGCATTGTCGCTAGTAGTGCTGTTAGATGAAGCTTACTCTAATTGCTGTACATGTATTAATTATATACATACATTCGATATATACATATGTACATGCATTACATACATACATACATACTTACATAAATGTACTGTAATTGTTCCACGAATTCCCAACTCCAGGTGTAATCGATCACCAAAAATTGCTCTCGATTGCATGCTCGTTCGATCCGTCGACTAATCTGGCAGCACTACTTGCGATGCCGAGCTTTTCGTGTTTCTTTTTTTTTCAAATCATGTTTAATTTCTTTTTGATGTTAAATGCACAGATTATGCACTTTTTTGTATGCTTGTACTTATTATGTTTCAAAAGCAGGAGCACTTACATATGTATAAATGATTTTCAATTAAATCAATTCAACGAAATTTATTTTAAAGCCACACTTTTATTTCAAAATGCGATTTTAAATTTATATTTCATTGAACCAAAAAAAAAAAAACGGTTTTGAAAAGCTTTGAGAAATATCTACAAAAAAGATATACTTGCAACTATAAAAGTAAAGTTTCGGACAAAGAAAAAGAATACCAAAAGATTACCTTTACAGCAAAATGAAGATAGGAAATGCACCATCGAAGATATAATAATTGAGCTTTAATTAAATTTCGCTGAGTGTATTACCAAACTAGTAAACTACAATATATCTATGTATACATGCATGTATGTATGTAGTTTGTAAGTCTAACAACACACAACACAATTACGATGAGCTGAAAGGTAGAGAATAGCACATACTTATGTGCTGCATATCCTTAAAAGGTTCCTTAATTTTTTATTATTTTTTCAATACTACCTACCTACATATATGTATGTATGTATATATGTATTTGTGTAATGTAAAATTCTAATGCCCTATTCTTTCTTTTCTTTATTTCTTTGTACGATCCTTCCACACAACTTGTTTGTTTGTGCAAACCCATAAACGAAAAAAAATATTGAAAAAATCATTGTTGGGAAAATTTGTGTTTTTCGTGTCTGTTATTCGTGTGTGTGTGTCACTCCTAATTATACAACAACAAATATGTGAACATAAACATCAATTATTACGACAACAACAATCACCGTATTGCTTGACCATACACTCACACGCGCACTTAATTTCGCACAAATACACAAATGACGAACGATTACCGATCTACAATAAAAACAAAAACAACAACGAATACACTCGTATAACTGTCTCGCTCACACACACACACAAACACGCCTACGCACACATACACAACAATAACTGTTAATGCGCTGCATTGAATGAACTGTCAATTAATTGCACACTCGATATAAAACATATCTAATAAATATAAATAATAAATTGATTCACTCAAAATCGGTACAAAAAACAAAACAAAACTAAAACAAAATTGTCATACAAAATGCAAATGAAACAACACATGAAAAAACAGTCTAAAGGAATACGGTGTCGCCTCAAATAGATACACGTTCTGCCAAAAGTGCTTTAACGATATTCAAGGAGATACCGTCACGTTGGGCGATGATCCGCTGCAGTCACAAACGTAAGTAGAATTTTAAATAAAGTGCTATAATACCCTGTACCTCAGTTATCTTTAAGTACGTTTCTCTGAAAGGCTAGAATTCAAATTGCAACAGTTTTTCAATAAAAAATGAGCAAAAAAAAAACGATCGAAATTCAGCGATATTCCATAAACTTTAAGTTCCAGCTTAAAGCCTACTTCTTACTTAATTCATTTTTACCCAAAACTCAATTTGGAGAAAAGAGAGTTAAGCAAAGTCCTAGCAGGTGGTTGTAATATCAGAGTACTACTCTGAAAGTGGGGGCTATTATTAGAAGTTCACTTCTATAGTAGTTGTTTTTTTTCAACATGATAAGCTAGGAAGATGATTTTTGAACTCGACAAGCTGCAAAATCTTTAGAATAAATAAATGTATATTCTTACATTTGAAAGGACATTCTTCTTATAACATTAAAATGTTTTAATTCCTTTAGGATAAGTGCTTGACTAATTTTTGAACCGAATGTGTCTGAGTTGAGGAAAGACCTAAGTTGAAAATATAGCCATTCAATGAACATATAGGGTACATAAAGAATAAGAAGAATAGCAGCACGCCTAATTATATAATATAATTGATTCCCTAGCCAAATAAAAAAGGACCAATTTAAGGAGATGAAAAACGATCATCTCGAGCTGGAACCCTTTGTCGATTGTCAGGAGTGTGGACGGAAGCAGCATCAGATTTGTGTGCTCTGGTTGGATTCAATCTGGCCCGGTGGCTTTGTGTGCGATAATTGCCTTAAGAAGAAGAACAGTAAACGGAAGGAGAACAAGTTCAATGCTAAACGATTGCCAACAACCAAATTGGGGGTTTACATTGAGACGCGTGTGAATAACTTCTTGAAAAAGAAGGAGGCCGAAGCGGGTGTGGTGCACATTCGTGTGGTTTCCTCCTCCGACAAGTGCGTTGAGGTTAAGCCTGGCATGCGACGTCGTTTTGTAGAAGGCGGTGAAATGACGCAAGAGTTCCCATACCGGGCCAAGGCCCTGTTCGCATTCGAGGAAGTGGATGGCATCGATGTATGCTTCTTTGGTATGCATGTGCAAGAGTATGGATCCGAATGTCCGGCGCCGAATACGCGACGCGTCTACATCGCCTATCTAGATTCCGTGCACTTCTTTCGGCCCCGCCAATATCGTACAGCCGTCTATCATGAGATACTGCTGGGTTATATGGACTATGTGAAGCAATTGGGCTATACCATGGCACACATCTGGGCCTGTCCACCCTCTGAGGGAGACGATTATATATTCCACTGCCATCCGACTGATCAAAAAATACCCAAGCCGAAACGCTTGCAGGAATGGTATAAAAAGATGCTGGACAAGGGCATGATCGAGCGCATCATACAAGACTACAAAGACATACTCAAGCAGGCCTCAGAGGATAGGCTGTCATCGGCTGCTGAGCTGCCCTATTTCGAGGGTGATTTCTGGCCGAATGTGCTCGAGGAGAGCATCAAGGAGCTCGATCAGGAGGAGGAGGAGAAGCGCAAGCAGGCCGAGGCGGCTGAGGCAGCTGCTGCTGCAAATGTAAGCACGCTCTATAACAATAAACAAAAATATTTTCAAACTATAATTTAATCAAACATTTACTTGCAGCTCTTTTCCATTGAGGACAACGAGGTGAGCGGCGATGGTAAAAAGAAGGGCCAAAAGAAAGCGAAAAAGTCCAACAAGTCAAAAGCCGCTCAGCGCAAGAATAGCAAAAAGTCAAATGAACATCAATCGGGCAATGATCTCTCGACCAAAATCTATGCAACCATGGAGAAGCACAAGGAGGTCTTCTTTGTTATTCGTCTGCATTCAGCACAATCGGCAGCCAGTCTGGCGGTAAGTATTTAAAGTATATTGTTTTATAGAGTAAGGGTCAGTTAAAGTGACTCCCTACGAAGAAATAAGGAAACATTTTCATATTTCTTTTCCCCAAACAACGCCTTAACAACGCCTTCGTTTGTTCTTTTTATTAACAGCCGATACAAGATCCCGATCCACTGCTCACCTGTGATCTCATGGATGGTCGCGATGCGTTCCTAACGCTGGCACGAGACAAGCACTACGAATTTTCGTCGCTGCGTCGTGCTCAGTTCTCCACGCTCTCCATGCTTTATGAGCTGCACAATCAAGGTCAGGACAAGTTTGTCTACACGTGCAACAACTGCAAGACTGCTGTGGAGACGCGATACCACTGCACCGTTTGTGAGGTAAGTGCACGAGGAGGAGGACTCTCGATTCAATGAACATATATCGAATGATTTTTTTTAGGACTTCGATCTGTGCACGATGTGCAAGGAGAAGGTCGGCCATCAGCATAAGATGGAGAAGCTTGGCTTCGATCTAGACGATGGCTCTGCGCCTGCAGATCCCAAACAGGCCAACCCGCAAGAGGCACGAAAGCAGTCCATCCAGCGTTGTATCCAATCTTTGGTCCATGCTTGCCAATGTCGCGATGCCAATTGCCGACTCCCGTCGTGTCAGAAAATGAAGCGCGTTGTCCAGCACACAAAGAATTGCAAACGCAAGACAAACGGAGGTTGTCCCATTTGCAAACAGCTCATCGCCCTCTGCTGCTACCACGCCAAGCACTGTCAGGAGCAAAAGTGTCCGGTGCCGTTCTGTCCCAACATCAAGCACAAGCTCAAACAGCAGCAGCTGCAACAAAAGTAAGTACAGTAAGACGCTGTTAGTGGGAATAGGAAGAGGGGCTGGAGTTGAGGGTGTATAAGAGGCGGAATATTCTAATATTCCATTCGTTTTTTGTAACTCATTTCTAATTAAAATTTTCTTTTTCCATTACCCTTCAGATTGCAGCAACAACAATTGCTGCGACGTCGTGTGGCGCTTATGTCACGTACCGCTGCGCCCAGTTCCCTACCCGGACCGACAGTCACTGGTGGTCCGGCGGTGGTCGGCCCTGGAGGTGTTGGCGTGCCCGTTGTTGGTATGCCAGGCGTAGCCGTCAGCCAACAGGTGATGCCCGGCCAGGCGGCCATAATGCCACCGGGAGCCGGTGGTATGAGTCCCTCCACAGTGACAGTGCCTTCGCCGGTATCTGGTGGCGGCATGGGCGGCATGACCTCACCACATCCTCACCAGCCAGGCATGGGCATGAAGCCCGGTGGTCATTCGCCGTCGCCAAATGTGCTGCAAGTTGTTAAGCAGGTGCAGGAGGAGGCGGCTCGCCAACAGGTGCCACATGGTGGTGGCTTTGGCAAGGGTGGTCAGATGGCGCCGCCTGTAATGCAACGCCCACTGAATGTGGTGTCCAATCAGGGCCAGCTAGGTGGCATGGTTGGCAATGTGGTTGGTGGTGTCGGTGTGGGTGGTGTTGGCGTTGGAGGCGTCGGTGTGGGCGGCGTTAATCAATTAGGCGTGCCTGGTGGCAATGCTGGAGGTGGCGGTGTCATGGGTAACAATCTGCTCGACCAGTGGAACAGTGGCGGCGGTGCACAACGGTATCCTAACAACCAGCCAGGCATGCGCCAACCCAACCAAGTGATGCAGCAGAATCCTATGCAGCAGCAACAACAACAACAAAACATGATGGGCATGGTGGGACCAAATCCAATGAGTGGTGGCAACATGTCTGTGGTCGGTGCTGGCGGCATGGGTGGTGGTGGTGGCGGAGGTGCGCCACACGTCATGGGCATGGGCGGTCAAATAGGCGCCGCTGGTGTCCGTCCGCCCGGAGCTCAAGGTGTCGGAGGCACCGGCGCCGCTGGCAACAATCCAAATATGACCAATGGTCCACCCCTAAACACCCAACAGCTGGCACAGATAATGCAAAAGATCAAAAATAATCCGACCAATGAGAGCAATCAGCACATATTAACCATCCTGAAGCAGAATCCCCAGATAATGGCGGCCATCATCAAACAACGGCAGCAAAGCCAAAACAATGCCGGAGCTGGTGGCGGTGGTGGTGGTGCCGGTGGTCCGGGTGCGCTTCAAGCTGGCAACGGGCCCCAAACACCACAGCAGCAGCAGCAACAACAGCAACAGCAACAACAGCAGCAGCAACAACAGGTCATGCAACAACAACAAATGCAGCACATGATGAATCAACAACAGCAACAAGCAGGACCCCAGCAGATGGGTCAACAGCAAGTCAATCTCATGCAGCCACAGCAACAGCAACAACAACAGGGATCCGGTTCGCACCAGCGCATGCCCAATATCCAGGGCGGGACGGGAGCAATGATGCTACAGAATCTACCCCCCGGTGTTACAAACCAAGGTGGCATGGTAAGTCGACAAAGCTCCTCCCTCTCTCACAAATATACATACATATATATAATAAGGATTCGAAATCATTATCGCTTATTAGCTTATGTTTGAATTCAACGATTAGTTGTGGGATATCGAGATTGAAAAGTGTTTCGAGATCTACAGAACGATCGTTTCGAATAGATATAGAATTACTTTTCACTTTGTGAACGGAAGTACAGTATTTCAAAACACTATTTTTGAAGATCACTGTGGTCCTGAACTTTGATCATCTACCAGGATAAAAGTTGGAACTTGCTTTCTCTCTGTTTTAACAGACAGATAAAAGCTAATTTTATTAGCTACAGTTTTTCAAAATACTATTTTTAAAGATCAGTGTAGTCTTGAACTTTCATCCATCTACTAACTAGGATGAGATTTAACAAAAAAAAAAGCTTTAAAAGGCTCCAGCAATTAACAAATTATAAATAATCAGGGGAGCCACAGAAAACTCCGGTGGTTTCGGCTACAGTTGTTTTTGAAAACTCCCCAAAAATACATCGGTGCCACAGAACTTCGAAAGATTTCAACTTCCCCTCCAAGCCAGCTAAGTTAAATAAAAAACAAGAGAGAACGCTACAGTCGAGCAAGCCCGACAGTGTAATACCCTGTACCCAGGTAAACTTCCGTCACTGAGTTATATGCGCCCAAAGCAGCAGCAAACAGAGGAAGAAGAAGAGCGAACTTGTTGCTGCCGTTTGGGGGGGTTGTACTGGCGAGAATTTGTTTCGCTAATAACTTTTCTAAGAATTGACCGAATTGAATAAAATTAAATTAAACAACAGTAGATAATTATATATAAATTATGTGTGCAAAGTTTGATTTAGGTAGCATTTGAAATGTGGACGCTATTGACGAAACTCCGTAGCGGGGGAAAGGGGGGAAAATGAAAAAAAAAATAAACTCGTCCTTTCTCGGACCTAGGAGAATCTGGATGCCAATGATGTTGAAAAAGTACAACGCAAATGTTTGAGAAGTGCATCTGATTCCAATTTGGCGAAATGAAGAATTCCACTTATGTTCCTTAATAAATATTAAATTTATTTGTAAAATTTTTTATAACATCATATGGAATTTTGCGCAATCTTGGGTTATGCTTCCATAAATTGGACGAAAATTGCGTCCTGTTGTGGCGATCTATCTTTCCCCCCTGCAAAAAACTAGCATTTGAAATTGAATTCATAAATTATAAAAATGTACTTGCTAAGGTTTATATTCCAATGATTTTTTTATGAGAAAAAATATCTGTTTGTGTTTTTAAACAAAACACCTTGCAAAAAGAACAAGATTTGGCCCCGAGAACTGGTTTTGAGGCGAAACTAGGGCGGAAGAGATTTCTGTGGCACCCCTGAATATACTAATTTTAAATTAATTATAATATTGCATGTTGAAGCTGTTGTAGTGCTTGATTAATCAAAACTTTTTAGTTGCTGTTGGATTACAATTAATATTAAATAAATTGTAAATTTTTTACCTATAAAAGGGAACACTAGTTATAACATACATTTGTTCTGTTAGAAATCAATTCGGGAGCACTGTCATGCGTTTTAAAATATCGTTAAAATATGTTTTGATTTCAATGTATATAGTAGTATTCAAAATTTCAACTGCAATTTAAATTACGTTCGTTTTAGAATTGGGGAAAATATCGGCTATTTATCGTGATTCGAGTTCGGTTCGGTGCTATAGCACTAGACACTTTCTTTTACACATACTCGTACACATACCATAAGCCACCCATCGCACATATGGACCCAGATCAGATGTGAGATCATAACTCAACCTTTCATTAGATACGCATTGACAATATGTCGTTATTTGAGTTTTGCAATGGCCTGGACTACTGCATACGAACTGGTGGCCAAATAAAAGGATTTAATTCGACGCAGAGAAGTTACATAATGAATTACTTGGGGTCTCCGTCAACAAAGTCGGCGGCCTCCTTCTGAATTCTCCAGTTGTCAAGAATCATTCACAGTTACAATTCAAGTTCAAAATGACAATCTTTCATCATTGAATTCGGATGATGCTCCTCACAAAATGAAGATACTGTCCATTATTCAATAGAAATCAAGATGATGAAGAAGCGCAAGAACATGAAGAGAAACGAATTGGATAATGGCGAATTAATCTTATTTGTTGAGCATTCAGACTTTTTAAATATTTCGACCAAATCGATCCTTCTGCTCTCTGTTCTTTTACATAGAGCTCACTTATAAGTCTTCTTGAGCATAAATAAACATACATTTCATACAAAGCATGAGCCAAGATTTGTTAGGTCTCTGTAGACAGAGACTTTAAAGATTCTACAGTGATGGAAAGTAATTTTTATACCCTGTACATGAAATGTACAAGGTTTGTGCGAGCTAAATAATGTAACGGGCAGAAGAAGACGCAAAGAAGTGTATATATTCTTGATCAGCATGACAAGTCGTCTGTCTGTCCGTCCGTCCGTATGAACACCTGGATCTCAGAGACTATAAGAGATAGAGACACCAAATTTTGCACAATTGTTTTATTTTTTTGATCCCCCCTACTTTCCCGATAATGGGGATTTTCAGGAGATATATCGGAGACACTAGGAACACAACATTTTGAAATTTCCCTCCCTCCCCCTATCCCACGTATTAAGTGATTTTCCAGAACTACCGTTATTACTGGAATTTTAGACTCAAATTGATCCAGTTAGTGAATTTATGTCCGTATGCTAAGTTTAATCATTAAAGGCAGATTTTAAAGGAAGTTATAGCCATATATTTTCCCTCTGCTCAGGCGCTGCCCGCAGCTGTTGTTGTTGCTGCTTTAGTTCAACATTGTACTGCATACATGTTCCCACAGACACGCATAGACATGCATACACTCACATAGCAACACTCACAAGCGTTATTTTTCAGGTACTAGCTGAAAAGGTGTATTGTTTGTTCAGCACGATTAGTACGATTAATCTTTGAGTAAAGTTGATAGTTCGTAAATATTTAAATATCTGAATGCTGCTCTACATAAAGTCCAAATAGATATATGTATATATATTTTGTACTTAAATAAAATGCAGGTGTTTGATGATTAACCCTTGATTTGACTTCTTCATTACATTTGCAAAGTGGGATGGACGAAGTGGGGCAATGGGCTGATTGTGTAAATAAAAAATCATATGTACCTCTTGTTTACCCAAAGTGGTTCTTGTGTAAACGATTCGAATTAAAGAAAGAACAATTATTTGGGGACATCCCCATTTATTTTTTTTCATTTTCATTTTTCTCAAACAATTCGGTTTAAAATATTTTTATTTGTTACCTATTTGCTTGTTTATTTGTTAGCATGCATTTCTAAAATCTTATATAATCTTTGATGGTCTTGGGAAAAACTTCGATGATAATGCGAGAGCATGCTTTTTTTTTTTTTTAACAGCTCTTTGGTTAACATTAACATCTCTAAAAAGATGATAGTTGACTTTATTTGCTGTAATTTGTTCCTAAATGTTTTTTATTTTGAAGTGTTTATTTAATAATTTTGTTATTGTAAAAATTAATTTGTTCACTTGCTTACATATTAACAATAAAATATTAAGTTTTGTTGAACCAGTGACTTAAAAAAAAAAAATCAGTTTTAAGTGCCATTACACAAATCACACTAATGTCTTTTTTCGATTTTTAAAAGGTAAATATTTAAGTAGTTATGCCTTTTATCTAATATTTATTAAATAACTAACGATTTGTATTTAACAGCTCATATTAATGACTATAAAAAGCTTTTAAAAAACTAAAAACTTGAAGAGGTAAACATTAACCGCTGAATAATGAAGAGAGCTATTAAATTAATGAACAAAATCATTGAAATGGTCTATTTTATACGATTTATAAGTGACACTGATTGCAATAAACCCGCATACAACGCTAGCGGGTGGTATTAAGTTACATATGTAGATTGTATTCAGCATCAATCATACTCATCAATCAAAGCCAATCCAATGCGTTCTAGTTCTTCTAAATCGGGTTTGAATGATACTCAAAATATCATCCCAAATAGCAGAACTAAAGCGCTCCTCCAAAACATATTGTTGATATTATTGATAACTAATGCAGAATCTTCAACTTTAGGTACAAAACCAGAATTGGTATAAAATGCGTATGCCGATGAACCAGTATCCTCCGCCGTATCCACAACGCCAGCGCGGACCGCCAATGGGCGGTGGTGCGGGACAGCAACAATTTCCGGGCGGTGCTTCTGGTAATTTTAATGCCGGTGGTGCCGGTGGTCCCGTTGGTAATGCTGTTGGCGTTGGGGTCGGTGTTGGAGTTGGCCTTGTTCCCGCTGGTGGACCTGTACAGGATCAGTACTCGATGGGAAATACAGCGGTGACTTCCAATTTACTGCAGCAAGGCGGTGGCGTTGGTGTGGGGGTCAAGCCCAATCCCCAACAGCAGCAGCAGCAACAGCAGCAACAACAAATGGGCGTCATGCCGCCGGGCATGCAACAGCAGCAACAACAACAACAGCAGCAACCATTGCAGCAGCAGCAACAACAAATGATGCAGGTGGTTGCAGGGGGCGGCGGTGGCCTAGGCGGCATGCCCAATGTCCAAAACGCCCAAAATTCTGTCACGGGTGGTGGCAATGGTGGCGGCGGTGGAGGTGGCGGTGGCTCCCAAGTCATGGGTCCGCCGACGCCGCACACACTGCAACAACAATTGATGCAATCAACACGCTCCTCCCCACCCATACGCTCGCCTCAGCCCACGCCCTCACCTCGCTCTGCGCCCTCACCAAGAGCGGCGCCCTCCGCCTCGCCGCGCGCCCAACCATCGCCACATCACGTAATGAGCCACTCACCGGCGCCGCAGGGACCACCACACGATGGCATGCATAACCACGGCATGCATCATCAATCTCCGTTGCCGGGTGTCTCGCAGGATGTGGGCGTGGGCGGTGTCGGCGGTGTTGGTGGTGTCGCCGGTGGTGCCCTGCCCGATGCATCCGATCAGCTCACAAAATTCGTGGAGCGGCTCTAGTGTAATTAGCTGTCAATGACAAACAACAGCAACCAGTTCGGAGATAAGCATAAAAAGGAGGTGGTGGAGGAGGAGGTGGAGGACGACGAGGATGACGAGGACTATCATCAGGGACATGCCCAATCATACAGTGGTGATAGGCATGCTGCCCATTACTTTTAAAAGGTTAAAAGAAGTTTTTACTTTTTGTAGACTTTTGATAATGTTTCAAAACTTTGCCAGGGAAATTGTGTGTTAATCGTTACGTACTTTCTCTTATCTATAGAATTATTTAAACGAAACGAAATCAACCTATTCTGTAAACTAAGTTAAGTAATTTGATAAACATGCACATATACAACAACAACAACAATAACTTTTACACATGCATACATACATATATACCTACATACATATGTATATGCAACTACATACATACATATGTATTTATATATAGAAAATGTGTGTATAATCAGATCTTAACAACAACAACAACACAATACTCTCACATGTCCTCTTGATGTATTACCATACATGCAGATTTTTATGCTTTAAATACAGGATTCTAATTTATATATATATACACACACACGCAGAAATTAGTTATTCGTTTTTAATAAGAGAGTCCGGATCTTCATTGTAAATAAAATTGGTTTTTAAACAACAAACTATACAGATTTTAACAATATACGCCGATCAAACGACTCTGTAACTTTAAACGTCAAACGTTACCCGCACCCCCTCCCCACATCCTCTTTCTATGTATTCAATATTTTAAGAACCCTTTGCAATTCCTGCCCCCTTTCAAAAACCTGTATACATATCATATGTATGTAGGTCCTTGGATGGGAGCAGGAATGTATGTATTACATACATGTATAGCTGAAATTTTTTTTAATAAAACTTTAATAAAATTATGTTTAACATATTTTCACAATTTAAATTGCTAAGTTGATATAATCTATGCATATATAAATATGTATATATTAACCTGTGTACGTGTGTATATGTGTGTGTAGCAGTTGCCAATTTTTTGTTGTAATTTATCATTCGTATTGTGTTTTTAAAGAATTTATTGATAGCAATTATGTTTAGATCGAAAGTGTAAACAAAAGAACAAAAACAAACAATCTGCACATAAAAAATAACAAAGAAAACACTTCAGATATTGGGACTAACAAATTTATAAATTAATATATATATATATATATATATATTTATATGTATGTATGTATGTGTGTGCGTTCGTGTGTGTTGTTGCTCCTTATAGGAGTCCTCCTTCCTCTCCACTCCACTCAACTCCACTCACTACTCCCAACCCTAAAAAAATTGGGAAAATGTATGTAACTAAATATTTTTATACAAAGCGAAATCTGAAAGTAATACAATGTTTGTTACTTTAAACAAAAATTAAAAACAACAAGAACAAGAAAAACGACGACGACAGCAACAACAACTTCCAATTGACGTACAACAATAAGAAGAACCACAAAATGTAACAAACAGCAATAGGCAAAGGCCAAGAACTGCGAATGTGGCCTTAAGGGGCCTCTCATGCATAAAGCATACTCCTACATACACACACACACACATATACAGCCAGACAGACACACACGCATATATATGCATGCATACATGTGTATAAGAATATACAGCTTTACAACTACAACTACTATCATAGGCTTTATAAACACACACACACATACACATGTATATACACACACTCAAAGACAAATCCAGGCTTTACATACATACATACATACATACATACATACGCATACGCATGTATGTCAAACTTAGTTGACCCTTGCAATACACGTTTCATTTCGCTAGAGAAGAAAGCCTCAAGTTGTGTTTATGACAAACATACACACACATGCATACTTACGTACATACATACATAAACACACGCAATCATGCAGACATATACATACGAGAACATGCATACATATTTAAATTACATAATTATTTATCGCGTGTAGAGCGTAGCAAAGCATTAGAGTGTAGGATCTTTGATAAGCATTTGAGAGTTAAGAACGACGAAGCTCATCAACGTTTTTATTTTCATATTTTTTTCTTTGCTGTCTTTTTTTTTAGTTTTTTATTTACAAGATGCCGCCGCCCAAAATTTTCATGTTATTGTAAAGAGAAGAGGTAGAGAGAGAGCAGAAAGAAAGAGCATGTAAAATACATATACATACATACATACAGCATAATTAGATGATAAGAATATACAAACATCAACAACCACACAACAAAAACAACAGCAACAACAAAAATGAAACTTGTAAACTGCGCATAAATGCCTTCTTAAATTGCGATTCAACAATTCGTACAGATCGTGTATTAAGCTAAGACAAAAAAAAAGAAAAAACAAAAGCATTAATTGTACATACATAGATACGGATATGCATAGTTCTAATTTATTACATATAAGGACAACACAACAATTACAATTAAGCTCGCATGATATACATACATATATAATTTTAAGGGTATATAATATTTTAGATAATCATGTGCACACACACGCACGCACAATCACACACACACACTAGCTTGCTGTGTCTGTGCGTGTGTATTTTAAACCTAAACGCAATGATTTTTAAAAATTAAGGCAAAGACACGGTAGTTTTCAATTGTAAAATAGAACAAAATTTGTAAACAAACAAAAAAAAAACAAAAAAAAAAACGTCTGTGTGTCCGCAGCGCCTGCGCGGCTGCTGAGCAGCAGGCGTCATTGTCGCGCTTCACTCATTTTCGTACAAAACGTACGAAAGAGAGAGAAAACACAAAGCTTTGGCTGCGCTGCCGCCGCCGTCGCCACAGCTTTTGTGCTGTTCATAACATTGTCTAACGGCCAAATGTTAATATGGCCGTTTGTTAGCATGAACAACAAATGTAATGTTTAATATTTAAAACTGTATAAAGAAAAGCAAATTGTATTTATTTATAGCAAACCGCTGCCTTTTAATTGCTGCGCAGGCAAAATGGCCACAACGAAAAAAATATATAAATTTGCATATGACAGAGACAGAGAGAGAGAGAGAGGTAGAGAGAGAAAGAGAGAGAGAGAGAGAGAGAGATCGATGCAAACCAAAAACAAGAAAGAAAAAAATCAGCATGTATTGTATAGGAAAAGTAAACAAAGTTACTGTGTGTCAGATGCATTATTATTATTATTAATATTATTCTTTTTTTTTTTTTTGAAATTGCAATCTGGCCGCAGTTTTGTTTACCATAAGTCAGCAGCAACAATGAACAAAGTTTGCAATGTTATGTCGTGTGTGTTGGAATTGTGTGACTACATGATTTTTTGTCTATCGTTTTTTTTTTGTACTTTTAAATGTAGGATATGTACTATTTTTTATGTTGTTTTGTGTAATGAACGCAATTTATGGCAAGAATGGCAGAACGAGGGCAAGAGGAAGAGAGTGTGTGTGTGAAAATGGAAAAGAAGTAAGAGAGCGAGAGAGAAAGAAAGAGCATATTCCAAAACTATTTGTGATTACAATTATATATGAGAGAAAAGCAAAACAAACCCGCTTGTTTGCGAGCATTAATTTATAAAATATACATATTTGTATAAATGAGTTCGAAGTGTAATCTTAAGCCTTAGGACTATAAATTATGGCAAGCGCGGGCCACAGCTATACATATACGCCTAATAAATAGATATATGTGCATATATATATATCTATATGTATACATATATATATATGTATTAAATATATGTATGCATACAGCATATGTACATATTCGTATGTATATTCTATGTTAGTTAAGTGAGAATTGTAAAATAAAAAATAAAGATGAGAAGAAAACAGTAATTCTAAATGATGCGAACTGCGAGGAGTTTATTATTATGCGTACATGTGTAATTTTCTTAAAACAACAACAACCACAACAACAACAACAAAACCTAGTTATATAAGTCACATGTAAACCAAGCCTTAGTAAAACTAGTTCTAACAAACAACAACAAACAAATGATTGATACTAATGTATAACACTAATGAAATAATGGTAATGACAAACAAACAAACAACAACCGTTATATATAATATTTAATTGTAAAATAGCGCTAAATTGAAATTATGAACACACAAGCAACTTTTTCTACCAATTTCTTTAATTATTTTGTTTACCTTTTTTTTTAATAAAAAAATTATTGATTAATTGTATTTTATAACTTAAAATATGCAAATTTATTCAAATTATTAAACAAATGGAGAAAAAACACAAAAACAAAAATCCTTAAAAACCACAACAACCACACACTGTAATTAACTATTTTGCTTGAGAGTGTAAAATAAATTTATTTAAAAAAAACCTCGTTCGCCGAATTTTCTTCTTTGCTTGATGTTTCATTTTTGTTTTGTGAGCCTCCGGTAAAATATTTTCCTCTCTTTTATGCTTTCTTCATTTCTATTTCTTTAAGACATTCATTTTGCCGCTCAAACTTTTGATTGATGATCTCTTTATGCTGTTTCTTCATGAAGTTCGGAGCGAGGTTCTACGCTCCCAATTCCTAGTCAGGTCTGGCGAGCATAACAACCATCAGAAAGCCGCATGTCCCTATGCAGCCTCTCTTGTGCATTAAACATATTGAAAGGGACGACTAAAGAATGCTCCTTGTAGCCTCCTCATAGACGATATCTTTGAAAAACTAAAAGAGATATTTCCATCGGGAACTAAAAGTGACAATTCCATGTTCGGAAAGAGGTAACCTCAACGTTCATATTCAGAAGGTTATATGTGTTTGGTTGTCAGCAAAGTTCGGTCCCGTTCCTCCAGATCATATCAACTCTCCCGCTCAAAGATCGCTTTGAAATGATTGAAACGAATTCTTAATATTTATGAAAATCCATTTAATACCGGGGGAAACCTAGACTGAATCTGTACTAGTGTAACATTCAAATCCCAACTACGCTCTTAAAATTCCAAAATAAGGAAATCTTTTGGATATGGCACTCGATCGACTCTCGAAACCAGCCTATTTTAAGACCGCATTTGAGTGGAAATCTTCACCATCCCATGCAATGGGGGACCGATTTGAAAACCGTTTTCACTTTTGTGAGTTCGTAAAAAAAGAAGAAAGAAAGTAAAGTAGTGTCGAAATACAAATTTTAGATTGCGTAACATCAGTTTTTTGTTAATCATCTCTCATCTCAAGACGTTGTTATTTGAATTCAATCGCTTTACCTGTGCTATTTTTCCTCTTTTTGTTGTCCGATGCCTTTTTTATGATCGTTTAACCACCAGAATTGCTCTCGGTGTCAGTCTACCTTATCGCTGGAATGGGCCCCAAGTTAGGCAAAAACTTAATTTGTGAAATACAGGCACTACACGACTATTCTATAGACTATATGCTATACTATATAGTAAATTGTAAATGCACAAAAGCGCTTGCTAACTAATTTTTAAATGAATATTTTAGACAATTTTTGTAATACAATAAAAAACAAATAAATTAAAAGACGAATTTCTTTGGTGTTCTCAATAAAAGGGCTTGGTTGGTGAAATTTTTCGAAAGTCCACAATCACGGCATCGTATAAGTTCAAAGTTCAGCTCTTAAGTGGCAATCGTCTTATCTAACTGGCCAACCATGCGGCGATTGCGACTCTTTCCGTTATACGGACTCCGATTCAAACTTTGAACGCTGACTATTTTTTCGGGTGCGGCAAAACTTCAGGCCCCCTTAAAGCTGCTCGCATATGACGTGAGCCTTTTCAGTATAGCCATAAATTTTGACTCTTTATTGTGCCGGATAAGCTGATCAATACACAGCTGGATGTCCAGCATAGTTCATAAACAGTTTTATAACCGAAATGTGGAAGAGTATACAAAAAAGTTCAAATGCCTGGAAGAGCTAGAAGGAGGCGGGGTTCAACCGTTCAACTGTTTTTCTGTTCGTCCGTATAAACGTTCATAGCTTTTGTACCAAAACAGCCAATTATATACTAGCTACTGATTTGTCCAAAATTCATCAACTCTTGGGCATTTAAAAGTCGCATATTTATTAAAATTTCATGAAGATTGGTGCACTACGTCCTCCAAAAATGTGTTCTTTAATAAGATAGCTTAACCAGAGTGTTCTACAGTTTTATTAAAATCGGCGCACTACATCATATACATATGTAGCTGTCATAGGAATGATCAGCTGACAACTCTATTTTGCTGCCAAACACTTTTTTTTTATAAAAATATCTTAACGAAATTTGATAAAAAAGTTTCATCAAAATTGTTGGGAGATAGCACGGAATCGATCGGATGACAAATCTCTGCTTTTACAAAATCAAATAATAAAGCTTATGAAATTATATAGCTAACAATTGGTGCAGAAAAGTGGGGGGCAGGTGCGACCCATTGAAAAAAAATCAAAAATGATGATGTAAATTTTATTGTGTTTTGTTTTTGTTTATTTTTGGTATTGGAAAGCTCTCAGGCGATTGAGGTAATAGTATAACACAAGCCATGCGGGAGCAATCTATTACTTATGAATTGGCCATCGATAAGATTAGGCGTTCAAGTGCAATAGGTATTTCTGTGTGGGCTAAAAAATGTACGATTGTGTATGAATGTAATTATAATGATGTCACGAAGAAAAAAAAAAAAAAAAAAAAAAAAAAAATCCGATATTGCAGTTCCATAAATATTCAAGTGGTTGGGGAGCATCGTGATAGTAGTGAGGAGTTCTTAATAATATTAGTATAATTAACTGCAACCACCTATGAAGATTTGTGGGAGAGCTTTATAAATGGGTAGCAGATAAGGTGCTTCCGGCTTGAAGTACCCACTTAGTAGGCCGATTAGAATTGAATGAGTGTTTATTTTATTTGATAAAGGCCTGTTTTCCTTAGGCCTATTATTCTCACAGCCATACTATATTTAAATTTAACACTTTAATATTTTCAAACAATGCTTTCTCAGTCCTAAACAATGTTTCTTGACATCTCACAGCATCAAGATATACATGAATTGTATGATCTTAGTCGCTAAAAGCAGAGTCAAAATAATTTCCAGCTATTCCATTCATAAGAAAAGAAAGATTGAAAAAGTGGGCGTCAGCCCCCAAATAAGATTAAACTTAAAACTCAGTTCCTTTCAATTATGTTAAAATCCTCGAAAACAACTCTGTAATTGTTTAATATTTCATTCCCTTCCGATTAAATTAAGTTGTTTTTAAGATACAGATACAAATTCAAATTTTTCGAAATTACGGAAATGTTTAAAAAAAATCATGATTTTTTAAGCGAAATTGTGAAGACAGTTGAAGGGAATGCGATATGAAAACACCTCTTTATTTGTTAAATTCAAATTTCTATTATTACATTATACTTGTAGTATTTTTATTTAGACACCTGTTTCGTTTTCTTTGAGCGGGGTATTTCGATTTTTTTCTTAAGTGAATATTTTTTAAATAATTGGCACTTGCACTGTTTTAAAAATATTAAGTCAAGTGCATAATTCTCTGTGGAGGGGTTTTAAAGTACTTTGCACTTGTGTTAAGGTACAATTCAATATGTTTATATTTAAACAAAAATATTCTGTGACTTTGAATTGGAAAATAGTATTCGTGAAGGTTCAAAAGCATTTTTATAAAAAACCATGACTGTAAGTCTTTCTTCCTGCTTTTGATTTTACTATAATTTCCAAAAAGGGTGGCTAGGCGAAATCGAAAATAGACGAAGATTCTTCTGGATTATCAATTTTGTGAAAGGATTTGAAAAAAAAAGGTATGTAATTTTTAATTGATACTTTTGCCTTAAAAGATTTGCTGTTTGATTTGGAATATTGCAAATTTTAAGTGAATCGGCAATAGAAGAAGAGTCTTCTGTACCTATAAATCCGATAATAATAATGCTAAAACAATTTTTTCCAGATGATTCTCAAAACAGCCTTTGATGAATGAATGAATTTATATTTAAGATTTCATTTGTTAGTTACTTTTAATTTCAGTTTCTGAAAAAGCTAAGCTGTCGATAAATATTGTTTTTGTTGATTTGGGATCTCTCAACATTTAAGCGAAAGTGGAAATAATTTTTACTTATTGCTTCGAAGCTTGCGAAAAAGATAATCTTTTTGAATTGGAGTCCAAGAGAAGTCATCTGTGTGTTGAGTTGTCTGGAAGAATTCGAAAAGATTTCTATGAGGCGGAACGAATTGGTATATATTTATATTTGTATATTTGACATTTAATATTTGATTCCAGTTCGCTATACTTTTAAAAAGTATTTTTTCGCATAATGCAAGCGAATTGGGTAGCTCTCTGAGATTATGTCAGAGTCTGGAATGCTTAAGACCCGTGTTCGTTACGTAGCCGCATGACTCGGGGAGACTGGTGAGTGGATTGGTGTTATCAAAGTTCAAATTAGTGCGCCTGGAAATTCCGCATAATTTAATTAAAAAGTTGGTATCATATTTCGTATTTATCAGCGATATGCTTATGACTTTGACATCATTTAGAGGCAGGTTAGGAGGCAACTCCAAGCACACACCTCGGACCAAATCCAAATCCAAACCCAACGCAACGCAACGCAACGCAAATCCAATCCAAATCAAGTCAAGCCAATAGATAAGGATATGGCAGAGAGATAAAGCAATGCAATGCAGCAATTGGTAGCAATTGATTAGCCTCAATGGTCGGTGGTCGCTCGTTTATTATCGCCAACTGAAAATCTTTGCCGTTTCGATTCGCCTCATACGTTCTTCGTTCTATCTAACGCATATTTTTAGATTTCAGGGGCGCACATCCAACGGTCGGTTTGGTCATAGTTTTGTATCGACTCGAGTGGACGACCACTTAGCCTATAAAAGCAACCCTGGACAGTGGGCTAGCAATTAGTTTGTAAACGCGCTCGAATCGCACGCGTCTAAACGCACTCTGTAAGAGGCTTCGTAAAAAACAGACCCACCCGATAGTGGATGATAATGGCGCGAAGTCATATCCTGGCCCTGTTGGCCCTGCTGCTGGCCACAACAGCCAGTGCTCATCTCTCCTTGCCCCAATCCCACGCCCACGCCCACTCGCAAGCAAATAGGAATGATTTGCTAACCGGTTACTCAAGCCCCATGCAGAGCAGCTTGGCCTACCAGTTCTTTGCTGTGGGAGCGGACGAAGCGCCCCTCGGGAATGTCACGAACGCGTTGCAGTTGACCGGAAATCGGGTGTACGACAAGGAGCGTTGCGACCAAGATTTGAGGCGCATACGCGATGCCATCGACAATATAGAGGAATGGGCTTTGGAGTGTAAGCAAAAGTGAAATTGAAAACAAGTTTGTGTGATTGCGAATTCCGAAACCGCTTCGATCTCGTCTCAATTACCGCTGAAGCTGACAACTTTTGGAAATGTTTTCGAAACAGTTCTTAAGCTTGATTCAAAGCAGATTTTCAGCTCAAACTCAAATCACTTTCTTTGCGAATTCCGAAACCGCTTCGATCTCGTCTCAATTACCGCTCGAGTTGTGAACTTTTGGAAATGTTTTCGAAACAGTTCTTAAGCTTGATTCAAAGCAGATTTTCAGCTCAAACTCAAATCACTTTCTTTGCGAATTCCGATACCGCTTCGATCTCGTCTCAATTACCGCTGAAGCTGACAACTTTTGGAAATGTTTTCGAAACTGTTCTTAAGCTTGATTCAAAGCACATTTTCAGCTCAAACTGAAATCACTTTCTTTGCGAATTCCGAAACCGCTTCGGTCTCGTCTCAATTACCGCTCGAGTTGTGAACTTTTGGAAATGTTTTCGAAACAGTTCTTAAGCTTGATTCAAAGCAGATTTTCAGCTCAAACTCAAATCACTTTCAATAAATGAGCGGACGAAAACGGAATTCGGAACAAGGCTATATATTTGATCGATTGTGTTCTTGTGCAAGTGCTTCTTCAAATTGTTATTCATTGATAAATCGGCAAACGGTTCATTTTATAATCCATCATAAATCAAAACTGTTTTGTTCAAATCAATATTCCATTCAACAGCCGTAGCTCGATTGTAAATTATGAATGAGTGAGCGATAGGGATAAGCCGTACCGTGTAGTATATGGTGTACATATCTGGCATATAAGTATATATGGTGCAATACTTTTACTGCCGGTAATTAATGAAAAAAAAATGCGATTTCGAAGCTACGTTTTCGATGAGAGAGAAATGAGTGAGAGATTCTAGATTCCCTTGTCACCATCTAGTTGATTCAGTTGAGTTTTGGACTCAATCTAATTGATTACAGTATTATGCCTTGAGCTAAAATACAAAGTTAGTAATATCTATTATTCGGGCAATATTCGAATTCACCTAAGATCTTGTTCACTTTTAATTTGTATAACCTGTACTCAAAGGAACCCACAGCATATCTAACTATTCCTGATCGAGCTTTTCAATATATAGTATATATAGCATAGAATAATTGTAAAGTTCGAAGATTAGTTTATTACAAGTCCAAATGTAGGTAATGGGGAGAGACAATTTTCAGTTACATACTTGTATATGGCACTTTGTCCGCCTGTCTGTATGAACATCAATTACTTTTGAAATATTACAGCTGGGGACTCAAGACTTGGCATGTTGACTTGTTTTATCCCATTGCAGATAAAGTTTATCACAAACTCATTATTTTATATAGTAGTCATGGGAGTGATAGGTGGAAAATATACTTTAAGTACAAAAATGTAAATCAACTTTTGTCTTAACAAGTTTCTTAACATACAACTATCTCACTAGAATTGGAAGTTTTATTGAAATCCGTGTACTATATCATGTAGATAATCGGCTTAAAAATCAGTCTTAGTATCAAAAAATTATTTTTTATAACAATATTATACCCAAATATGGTATTCCGCACCATAAGTCATAGCAACCATCAGTACAAAGATCTCTTAAGGTGACAAAAACTTTTTTAAATATAAAAATGTTTTTATAAATTCCGATATTTAACTATATTTTTATGAAATTTTGTTAAAATCGAGATCGTTTTAGCTGTAGGAATGTCAAGAGTCGGGCCCTCGCAATTTTGGCGTTCGCTATCAAACTGATCGAGTAGGGAGAGTTACGAGTTCGTATCAATATACTCGTATATTAATTGAGTGGGGGTCTGAAAATAAGTATTGCTAAGTGAGCGGTCAATAAATCACATCTTGTAATCCAATTCGGTTCATATATTTGAAAACTGTTATCGGATCAACACATTTTGATGCTTTCGGTTTCCATTGATATATAGTTATAGTTAGATTTGACGAGAGGGCCGATTATCAAACGCTGACGCTGACGCTGACTACAAACTGCACTTTGTCACCACATTGGCACTTCAGGCAGTAGTTATCAATTCCTTCATTTAATTATACATATTATTTAATCAGCAATGAGCGTAACAATAATACTAGCTCTTGATTTCTGTGACAGTTCCCGATACATGGGGTCGTCTGCCCGTCGGTCTATTCTGGGGCCACACGATTAGCATGGGACAGTATGAGGAGTGCATAGCGGCGACGAATACCTATGGGGATGAGATACGCGGCCAGTACTGTCTGGCCCGCCTGAACATAACACAGTTCTACAGCCAGGTGAAGAAACGCCATCACGAATTCGAGCGCATCAGCTATAAGCAGGTCGATCCCGAGATATTCGAGTTGGGCGTCTGCGTTCCCAGCTCCTGCAGTCCCGAGAAGACCGACGAGCTGCTCAAGCAGGTCATTAGGAAGTTCTACGGCGAGGATGTTATAGATCTCGAACAGACCATGATTCTGGAGAAGTACTGCAAATACGAAGCCCCCGTCGAGCTGCGCGGTGTCGACATTTTTGCCATGTAAGTGATAACGCCCCAATTCTATTAATTAATTCATTGGGTGGACTTTACCCAGAAGAGAAGAAAAATATTTACTGAATCCATACTTACTTCAAGGATGTTTTTCACAGCCATTCACCAAGAGAAAACCGCCCTAAAATTGGGAACATTTTTTCGTGAAATCAGAACATATATTCTGATAAATATGCTCTGCTTCAAAACATTTCCTAAGCTCATCCCATACTTTTTAACCGCTCTTTACAGTATTTTTTTTCCACGCAATGCTTTCTGTTTCAAGATTTTCTCTTTCGACTTATCAATCCAATATTTTTCCAGCATCTTTTTCGCGGCCATCATATTCTTCATGATAACGAGCAGTATTTACGATTATGTGCAGACCCGCAAGGGAGGTGAGTACTTTAACAAGATCTTTACAGTGAGATACAGATGCAGTCATAGCCAATAATCAATGGGTAAGGCAGCTGGAAATTTCCGGTACAAACGTCGATCGATAGACGAACAGGTGGAGAATTACAAATAGAGATTATTTAAACTTTATGGTGCTTAAAGAGCCATACCCTTTAAATATTGGTACATACAACATTTAAAATGAAGCTTTACGTACATTTTGACCCATAATGTGGGTAACAATTTCTGAAAGGCAGAAATGCCCTTAAAATAAAACATTTGAGATAAAGTTTTGAGAATATAAACAAGTGTTCAAATATTATGCACATGTAGACTCATAAATGAGGTAAATATTTCAAAATAAAATTATACATTGTTTTCTTTCTGTGTCTTCGCAGAGCCGAAGAAACCACTGCTTTAAAAATGTAGTTTTTGAGAATTTTTCGTGCTAAAAGAAAAAGCATGTTTCTTGCTAAAAACTGGGTTATTTTTTTTAATATTAGGCACATTTCGACCCACAAATGAGGTAAATGAGTCAAAATAGAATTATAAATTATATCCATCTGCGTCTTTTCAGCCCCGAAGAAACCACTGTTGATCGCCTTTTCGGTGCTGAACAATGCACCCAAGATCTTTACGGTGAAGAAGATAAACAGCCCGAACGTAATTCATTGTCTGAATGGACTGCGCTGCTTCAGCATGATGTGGGTGGTGTTTGGTCATGGGTATATGACCTTCTACGATCTGCCGCATATCAATAAGAATAGGTTCTACACGTGGGTGCAGACACCGTACTCGATGCTGGTGCAGAACGGTTCGCTCTGCGTGGACACGTTCTTCTTTATGTCCGGGCTGCTGATGTGTTGGGGCGCCTTCCGGGAAATGGATCGCACCAAAGGCAAGCTGAACATACCGATGATGTATTTCCATCGATATATTCGTCTCACGCCCGTCGTCGCCGTCGTCGTACTCTACATAATGTCGCTCTATCGCTACTCTGGTGCGGGTCCCATGTGGTTCAAGCTGGGCACTCAGGATCAGCGTTGTGCGGACACCTGGTGGGCCACACTGCTCTACGTCCAGAACTACGCCTTCCCCTATAGCATTGTAAGTACATGTAGTATTCCGACGGAGTTGGGTAAAAAAAATAAAACGATTTCTTGCTCTCTCTCTCTCTCTCTCTCTCTCTTCAGTGCATTTCGCAATCCTGGTATCTGGCTGTGGACACTCAGCTGTACTTCCTGTCGCCGCTCTTCCTCATACCCCTGTATAAGTATGGCAAGAAGGCTCTGATACCGATTGTGATCTTTGGACTGCTCTGCTTGGGCTGCACCTTCGCCACCTTTATTGCGAACGACTTCACGCTGTTCCGCGTCCAGGACGACCATGTCGATCTGCGCCAGCGTCTGACTTACTATCCAACCCATACCCGCATACCCACTTGGCTGATTGGCGTCATCTTCGGCTACTTCCTGTTCACGCGCAATCGCGGTCGTCAGATCCCCTTGGCCAAGCACTGGGTCATCACTGGATGGGTTGTTGCGTTCGGCACCATGCTGACGGATTTGTGGGGTCCCTACTGGCGTATTCTGCCCGACACTCCAGACTCGCCGCTCATTGAGGGTGCCTTCTTCGAACCGTTGAGTCGCACCTCGTGGGCTCTCTCCATTGGCTGGATCGTTTGGGCCTGCTACAATGGACACGGTGGCATCATCAACGACTTCCTCTCCTGGAGCTTCTTTACCGGCTTCAGTCGCTTAACCTACTGCATGTATGTCATCCACAGAATTGTTCAGTTGGTTAATGCTGCGCGTCTGCAGCATGACACACACTTTTCCGATTACGATGCGGTAAGTCTCGAGCACATTCCTTATACTTGTATTCCCTACACATTTACAACTAATCCTTGCGTTGAATTCCAGATCCTGCGCTGGTGGCACGATTTCGGCATCACACTAACCGCTTCCATATTTGCGACGCTCGCCTTTGAGTCACCCATTCTTGGCATAGAGAAGGCCATTTTCGGACGTGGCGACCCCAAGCCGAAAAAGCAGCCCGCAGTGGCCGAGGTAGCCAAGGTGGCTCCCGCTGTGGTTGCGGCTGCCACTGTTATCACCGAAGTGGCCGCTGCCAAGCCCACATCTGAAACAGCTGAGCCCGTCGCTGCCGACGAAATTGTGCCCGATTTACCCAAGCAGGCGGAGAATCCATCGCATGCCTAAGCCGTAGCTGCCGAGTGCGTTCTGAGTTCATCGATTTTGTTAACGACCCAAAATTATGTTTTGTCGCTGTTTTGTTTTTTTTTTCTTAACATTAGTTAGTTATTTATTAAAGTAGGTAAACACACACGTATTAAATACATGCTGGTAGTTTTATTTTCTTTTAAAAGTGAGGTTTGAGGAAACAGTGAAGCTTTCCTTCCTTTTGAAAAGTGTACGATTGGCGGCAAAGTGGTGAGTACAACGCAGCATCGATACTTGTAAGCTGTTGGCGGTGCGATAAGTTCGACTGAATTTGTCCCATCGATATTGGCGATAGCTCGACGGACTGTGCTGAGTTGGCAGTGCCAACAACAACAGCTGATGCTTCGCATAGCACTCGTTCTGAAATTTTATTACTTGCAAGAGCAATTTAGTTTAACATAAGGAGAATTTTCCTTATTCACAATATTATCATTCTACTCTACACTGTGTGTGTGTGTACAGTAGAGAATGCATTAAGAAACTCAACAAATTGTACCTGCACACAAGTACCTGTTGCTTGATGCGACTATTGTCAGTGCGCTGTAAGCTGCGACTTGTCAATGTCCGTGACAGAAACCACTGGCCACCCATCCCTAGTAAAAAGTGTAATTTATCGAAAGTTTTCGATCGAAATTCTTGCAGTACGGACGGGTGCGGGCTGTTGTTGTTTTGTGTAAGCGTCGCGCAGAAAGATATAGCCGAAAATTATTAGTGAATATACTTATTATTGGTAGTGACAGTGAAGAGAACAACAACGACGCAGTCAGCGTTCAATGAAAATGCATTTGTGAATTTTTTCACACACACAAACACATATTTAACGCAGCAACAACAACAACAAACGTTCCAGGCGTGCAACAACAGGAAGGATAGGGCGCTGAGTGTAAGCAGAACGAACCACAACAACAACCACAGCATCAAGTTGCAGTGACGGCAACGGCAACAAGAACAACAACAGCAACAAGAGCAGATAACATGGCGATGGAGCAATGCTCAGATTCTTCGGTAAGTGAAGAAACAATGAACATTTTGGGCCATGTGGCCGAGAAAAGCGTAAAAAAACATTTTCTTGTTTCGGTGCGAGTGTGAGGTCAGTGCGGAGCGCAATTATGTGTCTGTGTGTGTGTCTTGTATTAAAAGCAGCAACAATTATGAATACAATATGCTTACAACAAAGGCACGCCAACGCAACATCAACATAAGCAATGCGTGTCTCTGTGTGTGTGTATGTGTGTTTTGGTCTTAACAATACTGGTTGGGAAAAATTTGGCAATTGCATTTAAAGAGCGCAACTACCACAAAAATACCAAAAACTACCACCAACAAAAACAACAACAGCAGCAACAACAAATAACAACATGCAAGTGTGTGTTTATGTACATATGTGTGTGTGTGTGTGTCAAAACAAATGCAGGTTACCCAGCAGAAACCGATTATTGCATGAAAATATGTACCTCCCTTTATATTTACTCCAAGAATATTACTGGTTCTTGATTGTTGTAATTGTGGCGTTACCGTCTTGATTAGAGAAGCATTATATGTATATCTATTTAGATACATACTATATAATTTTGCATAAAACGGTAAATAGGTATGCTAGATTGATGCGAATGTAAAAGGAGCCATGACTGACCATACAATGTCTACATGTTCATAGTATGAAGAGTCTGAACGTCTAATACCGATCACGTTTGGGTTGTTTCCAATTTGTGCTTTCATAATTTTTGGAATTTATTTTCAATAAATGTAACAGTTACTATCTTAATTTTTAGATAAATAATAAAGTGTTATGTTTTTTTTTGTGGTTTGCATGACTCTAACTTCACTTTTATGTGTTTCTTATAAAACAACTATTTCTGCTGATTTTTAAATTCCTACTGGGGCCAAATGAAGTTTGAAGCTAAGTGCAACTGCTTTTATTTTTTTGCTCTTTTCTTCTACTGCTCTGCGCTTCATTAGGGAAAGTGATTTCCGTTACACACACACGCATGTTATATTTTTTATGCACATGTGCTTAAAGTTCTTTGCATTTTTTCTTTATACATACAACATACATATTTAAATACTTGGTTGGTTGTTGTTGTTTGGTGCAACAGAACATTGAGCAAAGAAAAGAAAAAACCTGTTTACAATTAGAAAAGGAAAAAGCTTTCCCCTTCCTGCTGCACACACACACACACACACAAACACTCCAAATCTTGTGTGTTCTGTTCATTTGTTGTTGGTTTCGAAACCTCCACGGGTCATTGGCTGCCCTCGTTTGTCGCTCCTCTCGCCGTTCTGCGCGCCCTCTCTATTGCTCCTTTTTTTTCGCTTCCTCTCCGGCCAGCAAACTTGTGTTGTTGTTGCTGTGCTGTTGTTATGCTTTTGGCAGCTTTGCCAAATTACTTGCCGGCTGGCGCTGCGCCGAGGGACAACAACAAAACTATGCACATATATTAGGCATTTTTTGTATTGCATAAAAAATTGCAGGCTAGTTCATTGCTTGCTTAATCTCTAACTGTAAAGGAAGAGTAGTGGGTGGGTAAAGGCGGGTGAAGAGTAACGGTCCCTTCATTCAACACTTCCCAGGCAGTTCCTGCTGCGTTGACCTTGCGAGTCAACAAAAACAAATGCGTTCGTAGGTGTGGGTGTCTGTTGCCAACTTCCAAAAATACATTCTGGCTACCTACACACAAACTTACATACAAATACATAAGTACTTTGTTTACACCTGCGTGTGTGCAACATCTGTGTTAAGCTGACGCCTCATTTGCTAAGCGTTTTTCCAGCTTTTTCACTTGACTGGCTGGCTGGCTGGCTGCCTGGCTGCCTGCCGCCGCCTTCACTTTCCAGCAGATTGTGTGCGCCGTTTGAGTAATGGGTGCTCGAAAAGTACTTCATAATTACCTTCTGTTTTGTATTGCTTTGTTTTTATCGATAAACAACTTGAAAAAATTGTACAATTACCCACTTTTATGGGGCGATTTCTTGTTTTTAATGCAGTCAGGTGATTCGGCCTCACTAGCATTTACAAGTATTTCGATATCAGCATAAAAATCTCTTGGCGAGCTGTAAATCCTAGTGGTGATTGTAAGATTGTAACTCTCCCTGAAAATCTCTAATATCACTTTTTGTGCCGAAAGAATCATGCCTTGTTCATTCTATTACTAAGAGTCTAGCAATCAACCAGTTTGAAAAACGTTCTTATAAATGAGTAGAGTAATTTTGCATCGCGTGCATTTCAATATTTTTCAAACATCTCGATCATATTGAAGGGTGCAGCCCTAAAAAGCTTAATAGTACCCTCCTCGAACGAAATATGTGCTGCTTAAATACACAGATTTTTCATTAAAAATCAAACATACTTTTTACTATATAAAGAAATCAGCATTACCAAAAACAATTATCTACCAACTTCAATATGATTTCTGATAAGTTTGCCCTTTGAGCTCTACTTATACTATATTCTAATAGCCTCCAATAAAAACGCGTTCTACATTCTAAATGGCGATCCATTTACCTTTCTTTATTTTCTTGATGTAAAGAGATCTAAAGTAAATTCGTTCGACTCCTTGTTAAACTGTATGAACTTCGTGAGCTCGTAAATGATAACAACTAGGGAGGCGAAACTTGGTATGCACACTTGCCTTATCCATACGCAAAGCAAGTTTATTATAAACTATAGGTAGCCTCAATATTTTATATAGCTTCCATAAGAGCGATCGGTGGAAAAGGCACACTTTCCTGCTTTTAAAGTTATATGAAGCGCGAATATTACAAGCCCTTAGTACTTTATAAAACTGCCGCCGGACCGGTGGGGTCGGTGCAAAAATCTTTCCTCCAGTGCGCGTCAGTAATCCGAACTGATCCTGTACCCTGTAGTTGGGAAAGAGCACCCTTTTAGCTTACCCTCGTGTGTAATGCGCATTTTGTTAAATTTTTACAAAAGGCTCCCACAAACGCACACACACACACACACACACAGATAGGCGCTTTGTTTTGTAGATGCCACAGCATCCAATAGGCGCCCTGTTGTTGTTGTTGCTGTTATTATTCTTGGTATACTCGTACGTGGAGATGGAGTGCCCACACATTTTTAGTGGCAGTGAGGCAGTGAGGTAGGCGCTTTTTCATTTGAATTTATTTCTCACCTATGTGGCATAAATTAATTTTTATTTTTACCTTTTCCCCAATTTAAATTTTTCCTATTTCCGAGAAAAGCGTTAATGCGCAAAAAGAGGCGCCCCTCCACTACTGTATAGAGAATATAATACTTACAAATATGTATTTGTTGAATGTGAATGTAAATATCAATATCAATATCATTCATTCATTTGCGCACTTTCATTGATGCATGTTGCTATTTTGCACGTGTGGGGCCGATCCGCCACATCGAGAATCGAGTTGTTTAAATAATTTATGCATTTTGACCGTCTGGGTATGTGCATTCAGTGTTATTTACGACCAACCATCGCGTGGCATTCCGATAATTGTAGATTCTTTTGTTATTACGACACAATTCTCGTACAACACAATTTTTGCCGTATACTGTTACTTCTACACCGGCTGGTTTGTTTTTTTTTTTTGAAAATAAATAAATATGTAGTTTGTTATTAAATTGGTATTGTAACTGAAGAAATAGGCATTTGATTTGCACACAATCTACAACGCACCTCTTTCATTGATCAACATTTTGAACTTTAAAGGCAGAAGGTGTATATTGCCATTTGGTCGTTTGTTTGTCTGTATGAACATGGAGAACTTTTGAACGACAGTCGCTGGAAAAACTAAACTTGGTATGCAGATTTATAGCAGACTTATACGCAGATTAAATGAACAGAAATCATTAAACATTTTTATATACGGTGATCGGCTTGTTATGTAACGGTCTAGAAATCAATATTTATACCAAAAACTTTTTTGTTTATTATTCATTAATTTCAGATGTTTATTTTTCCAGGGAAGTTTATTTCGATTCGTTGACTGAGGGAGGAGGG